AGTCCAACATCCCTAACCAGCCTGATGTCTCTAACCAGCACAACATAGCTAACCAGCGCATGTCCCTAACCAGCCTGATGTCTGTAACCAGCACAACATAGCTAACCAGCGCATGTCCCTAACCAGCTTGATGTCCTTAACCAACCCAACAAGTTTAACCAGTCCAACATCCCTAACCAGATCGATGTTCTTATCCAGTTTGCAATCACTAAGCAGATCAACATCACCAACCAACTCAGTATCACAAACCAACCCCACATACCCAACTAGCTCGATATCACTAACCAGTTCCAGTGATTAACTGGCTTAGCTAGCATGGTTTTGTTTGTTTGAGGCCATTAGTCTGGGGTGTAGAGCACAGGGATGATCTTACTGCACTAATTAGATAAATGACCCAAAGATTTGAGATGAATCTCACAACAGCAGCTACGAAATTAAAATTCAGTTAATGAAATAAATTCAAAATGGAATAAAAATGAAATATCAGTAACAATGACCATGGAACCACCAGATATTTAAAAAAAACACCATCTGAATCATTAATGTCCTTTAGGGAAGGAAATCTGCTGTCCTTACTTCTTTTTACACGTGACTCCAGATCTACAGCAATGGGGTTGACTCTTAACTGCGTTCTGAAATGGCCGAGCAAATCACTCAGTGATACGGACAGGCAGTAACGGCAGCCTTGTCAAAAACATCCACATGAATGAATAAAAAATATTCGTCATCACACAAATTCTCTTCAAAGCTTCCACTAAAAAAAAAGTGCATAGAATGTCAAGCTTTCAATAGTCTCTCCTTTGCAAGGTGCAACATTACAAGCAGCAAATGGACTGGCACTGAGCAAAGCATTTTCAAGTGTGTGCTAGGCAGGTATTATGGAGCAGTGTGAAATGGACGAGGGGGCTGAGAGGGAGGACTGGGACAGATATGTGAGAGTGCGAAGTCTGACTCTGAGGATGCAGGGTGTGAGAGTGCTGGGGTGGGAGGTGGGAAATTTGAGAGGGCTGGGTTAGAGGGGCAGGGTACAATGGGGCTAGATGGGAGGGGAGAGTGTGTTAGGGGACAGGCTACTGGTGGCAGGGTGAGAGGGGGTAGAATGGGATGTGACCAGATGGAAGGGGGCAGAGTGTAGGGGGCAGGGTAGGAGGGGACAAAGTGTGAGGAGGCAGAATGGAAGGGGGCAGGGTCTGAGGGGACAGAATGGAAGGGGCAGAGTGAGAGAGATCAGAGTTTGAGTGGCAGGATGGAAGGGGGCAGTGTGTGAGGGGGCAGGGTTTGAGGGGGCAGTGTGTGAGGGGAAAGTGTGTGAGGGGCCAGAGTGGGAAGGAACACAGTTTGAGTGGCAGGATGGAAGGGGTCAGAGTGTGAATTTATACTGTCCGGTCTGTTATGGTGAGTACTGTCATTTACGGTTTTGATCTGTATTGGTTTATATATAGGGGCCAATTCTGTATGTTTGTTGATTGAGTTATTGGGTGGACAACCATGCCTCTAGGAATTCCCGTGCGTGTTTATGTTTGGCTTGGGCTACTATAGTTACTTCGTCCCAGTTAAACTGATGGCCTTCATTGTCCAAGTGTACTGATATTAAGGAAAGTTTGTCGTGCCGTTTTGCTGCTAGCTGATGTTCGTGTATTCTGATGGCTTCTTCCTTCCTGTCTCCGATGTAATGTTTGTGGCAGTCGTTGCATGGTATTTTGTAAACCACATTGGTTCTGCATGTTGTGGGGATGGGGTCTTTAATCCTTGTAAGTGTTTGTCGTAGAGTGGCTTTGGGCTTGTGGGCCACCATGATTCCTAGTGGTCAGGTCCAATATGTTCCTGATGTAGGGAAGTGTGGTAAGTGTTATAGGTCGTACTGTGTCCTCCTGTTGTTGCTGTTATGTAGGCACCTGTGGATGAAAACATAGACGCGCACGGGAATTCCTAGAGGCATGGTTCTCCATCCATACTTCAATCAACAAACATATAGAATTGGACCCTATATATAAACCCATACAGATCAAAACCAGAAATGACACTACTCACCATAACGGACCGGACAGTATAAATTCCAAACGGAGTAGAACAACATCGCTTCATCGGAGGCTCCACTGATGATGTCACCTAGTATGGTGATGAAATGTCTGAACAAAAACAAGCCAGCTCGGCAAGCAAATCAACAACCTCATCCACAACCCGAGCTACAGATCTTTGCCAATACTTTAAATGGTTAAGAAGGTGTTTAGCACCCTTGCCTTCATTGCTCAGACTTTTGAGTATAGGAATTGGGATGTTATGTTGAGATTGTACAGGATGTTGGTGAGGCCTCTTCTGGAGTACATTGTCCAGTTCTAGTCTCCCTGTTATAGGAAGGATATTATTCAGCTGGAGAGGGTTCAGAAGAGACCTAACAGGATGTTGCTGGGAATGCAGGGTTTGAGTTATAAAGGAAGGCTGGATAGGCTGGGAATATTTTCCATTAGAGCGTAGGAATTGAAAAGTGACCTTATAGAGGTTTATAAAATCATGAGGGGTATAGATAAAGTGAATGGCAGTTGTCTTTTCCCTAGGGTGGTGTATTTCAAGACGAGGGGCCATAATTTTAAAGTGAGAGGAGAAAGATTTAAAAAAGACAGGAGAGGCAAATTTTTTTGCACAGAGAGTGGTTCGGGTTTGAATGAATTTCCAGAGGAAGTGGTAGATTCGGGTACAGTTACAACATTTAAAAAATATTTGGATAAGTACATGAATAAGGAATATTTGGAGGGATGCGGGACAAGCACAGGCAGGTGGGACTAGTTTAGTTTCGAATTATGGACTGGTTAGACCAAAGGGTCTGTTTCCATGCTGTATGCCTCTATGATTCTATGCATAAATTACTGCAGATACTGGAAATCTAAATAAAAGCAAACAGTGCTGGGAATACTCAGCAGGTCTCGTAGCAACTGTGGAAAGAGAAACAGCATGCTTCAGTTACAAGAACAGGAAAATTTGAAGTGATGAACAGCCTTTAAGGATAAGGGTACAAAGAGTCAAAACTGGCTCAACTTCATCCCCAGCAGACCCCTTAATGATGATAGGAAACTTCCCCTGAGTGTGAAGAGCATAGCAGAATACAACCATTGGATTTTGGGTGATGGTGTAATCTGCTGAGCTTCCCTGTTACTGTGAATAGATTAATGTTTAATGATAAAACAAAGAACTGCAGATGCTGGAGATCTGAAACAGAAAAACAGAAAACTGTTGGAGAAACTCAGCAGGTCTGGCAGTATCTGTGTGAAGAAAGCAGAGTTAATGTTTCAAATCTGGTGACTCTTCATCAGAACTGATAGCAGCAAGGATAAAATGGTATTTATGCTGAATCTGAAGTTAGGGAGTGGTGATGGGGGAGTGGTGAAGGGGAGAAGTGAGCAGATAAGTAGAGATGGAGACCAGTGAGAGAGAGGTATATGAAAAGGGTGGGTAAATGAGGAGATAACGGAATGCAGGCCAGGGCAGAAGAAAAGCTGAATAAGTTACAAATAGACTTAAGAGTAGGAGAAAATAGATTAGCTGTACTGAATGCAACTCATATAATGTGATAATGGTTCTAGGGGTACATGGGAATGGGTGACTGTGATAAAAACAACCCAAGTCATAGGTGTGGGGTGGGTAAAAAAACACAGAAGGATGGAATCAGACTCGAAAGTTATTGAACTCGATGCTGAGTCCCAGAGGCTGCAGGGTCTCCAAATGGAAAATTATTTTTTGAACTTGCACTGAGGCTCACTGGAACACTGCAGCAGGCCTGCAACAGAAATGTTACTGTGGGTACATGGCAACATGATGTTCTCTGGCCAACATTTCTGTCTCAGCAATTTCTGTTTTTGTTGATGTCTAATGATCATTTGTTCCCAGTTGAAAGTGTGTTTTTAAAAATGACTGCGCCCTGTTTAGAGGGAGACAGCCTTCACTGAACCATCAGCCTGTGTAATTCTCCACTTTACTGTTTAATCTTTGGCCCTCCCTTCCCTTATCGTCCCCTCCCTTCAGTCTGAATGATCCGACTGTTCAGCATTATCTGCTATCCAAATGCTATGCATTAGCGAGCCCATTCATTATACACAATGAAGTGCTAGAGTTTAGTTAATAATAGGTAATGCTGTTCCAAATGCCACTCTAGCCAATCTGTGCATGCATGTGGCTCCCAGCTCAGTTTGTCATTAGTCAACTGAGCAAAGCAGAACATTGAACAATTCACATGATGTTCTGTGCTAATGGCTCACTGTGCCGACAATGAAATATACCTGGGGCTGAGTTTGATGGAAGGAATACGCTATACTAATGGAGAATAGAAAGTCAGTTCTTGTTAACCCATTCTCAATGAAGCTGGCAGTAAGTGGCCTTGGAGAGAAGCATATTCTTTGTGTATTACAGGTTAGATTGTGATTTCTTGCATACTGAACTCAAACTCACATTTCACAGATGTAAGGCCTGAACCTGAGCAGATGCTGATTATTACTGAGAGTTGGAGTATACAACAGGACAAGGTGATATGGTAACAGAACAAGAAGTGATCCAGATTTTACCAAAATACTGAAGCACACACCAAGCTGTGAGAGAAAATTTGTTTTACACAATGAGTGGTTCAGGTCTGGAGTCCACTCCCTGGAAATGTGGTGGAAGGTTGAGGCATTCAATGATTGTGTGAATAGTAACAGGGTTACAGGGACAGGGCAGGGCAATGCCTGATTCATGGTGCTTATTTGGACAGCCAGTGCAGACAGGATGGGCCAAATGACCTCTTTCTGCACCGTAATGATTCTGAGATTCCTGGTTTCTGGGTCTTTTACTGCCTCCCACATTCTGGTGGCATGGTATCCAATGAAGTTTCACTTAGTGGCACCCAGACAGTAAGGCTCCGCTGGCTCAAGCTAGACAGTTACTCAGAATTGAAACTGTTACTTCTGTGGAATCTGAGATTTTGCATGGAGTTCAGTAAATCTCTCTTGGAATTCAGCCTGCTGGTAGGATCTTTGGCTTTACCTGAGTGGTCCACAGGTACTAACAGAGGGAGTGCAGTGTGTGGTGTGAACATTGATCCATTGGTCCCTTCCAATGTCTTGGCAATCAGTCAGTACTCAAATTTTGGTCTAACCAGAACATGATCATGTTCGATTGGGACCTTAGCTGATCCAAGTCTCTAGGCTGTCTTGACTGCTGTTTTTACATTCGTTCAAACTATTGAGCAAGAGGAATAATCCCATTTTGTTCATTACTATTTCCTGTCCACTCATGGATCACACTCTCCCGACTGCATGTGTAGTTAAAGAGCTAGGATCACAGTTTGGATTCTCTGATTGGTATCAAATATTTAGTTTAATTTCAAGAACCAAAGATGAGTGTTAGGGATTTAGTAAAAAGCTAAGTACCAGATTGTATAACTACACGTGGAGAGACCACTGAGTCTGTCACCTGAGAAATCTAGTATAGACGTCTCGCAATAACCCCACACTCCGCCACCCCCACCATAACAACCCCATACAAAAGAGAGATAGTAGAAACTGCAGATGCTGGAGAATCCGAGACAACAAGGTACAGGGCTGGATGAACACAGCAGGCCAAGCAGCATCATAGGAGCAGAGAGGCTGACGTTTCGGGCCTAGACCCTTCATCAGAAAAGGGGGAGGGGAAGGGGGTTTTGAAATAAATAGGGAGAGAGTGGGAGGCGGATAGAAGAGGGATAGAGGAGAGGATAGGTGGAGAGGAAACAAACAGGTCGAAGAGGCGGGGATGGGGCCAGGAAAGGTGAGTGTAGGTAGGGAGTTAGGAAGGGGATAGGTCAGTCCAGGGAGGACGGACAGGTCAAGGGGGCGGGATGAGGTTGGTCGGTAGGAGATGGAGGTGCGGCTTGAGGTGGGAGGGGGGGATAGGTGGGAGGAAGAACAGGTTAGGGAGGCAGGGACGAGCTGGACTGGTTTTGGGATGCGGTGGGGGGAGGGGAGATTTTGAAACTTGTGAAATCCACATTGATACCATTGGGCTGCAGGGTTCCCAAGCGGAATATGAGTTGCTGTTCCTGCAACCTTCGGGTGGCATCGTTGTGGCACTGCAGGAGGCCCAGGATGGACATGTCATCTGAGGAATGGGAGGGGGAGTTGAAATGGTTCGCGACTGGGAGGTGCAGTTGTTTGTTGCGAACCGAGCGTAAGTGTTCTGCAAAGCGGTCCCCGAGTCTCCGCTTGGTTTCCCCGATGTAGAGGAAGCCACACTGGGTACAGCGGATGCAGTATACCACATTGGCAGATGTGCAGGTGAACATCTGCTTGATGTGGAAAGTCTTCTTGGGGCCTGGGATGGGGGTGAGGGAGGAGGTATGGGGGCAGGTGTAGCACTTCCTGCGGTTGCAGGGAAAAGTGCCGGGTGTGGTGGAGCTGGAGGGGAGTGTGGAGCGGACAAGGGAGTCACGGAGAGAGTTGTCCCTCCGGAAAGCAGATAAAGGTAAGACTCGGTGGTCGAGAACGCCCTCAACCGTGTCTCCCACATCTCCCGCACCTCATCCCTCACACCCCGTCCACGCAATAAAAACCAAAAAAGAATCCCCCTCGTCCTCACGTACCACCCCACCAACCTCCGGATCCAACGCATCATCCTCCGACACTTCCGCCATCTGCAATCCGACCCCACCACCAAAGACATCTTTCCCTCCCCACCCTTATCTGCTTTCCGGAGGGACCACTCTCTCCGTGACTCCCTTGTCCGCTCCACACTCCCCTCCAGCTCCACCACACCCGGCACTTTTCCCTGCAACCGCAGGAAGTGCTACACCTGCCCCCATACCTCCTCCCTCACCCCCATCCCAGGCCCCAAGAAGACTTTCCACATCAAGCAGATGTTCACCTGCACATCTGCCAATGTGGTATACTGCATCCGCTGTACCCAGTGTGGCTTCCTCTACATCGGGGAAACCAAGCGGAGACTCGGGGACCGCTTTGCAGAACACTTACGCTCGGTTCGCAACAAACAACTGCACCTCCCAGTCGCGAACCATTTCAACTCCCCCTCCCATTCCTCAGATGACATGTCCATCCTGGGCCTCCTGCAGTGCCACAACGATGCCACCCGAAGGTTGCAGGAACAGCAACTCATATTCCGCTTGGGAACCCTGCAGCCCAATGGTATCAATGTGGATTTCACAAGTTTCAAAATCTCCCCTCCCCCTACCGCATCCCAAAACCAGTCCAGCTCGTCCCTGCCTCCCTAACCTGTTCTTCCTCCCACCTATCCCCTCCTCCTACCCCAAGCCGCACCTCCATCTCCTACCGACCAACCTCATCCCGCCCCCTTGACCTGTCCGTCCTCCCTGGACTGACCTATCCCCTTCCTAACTCCCTACCTACACTCACCTTTCCTGGCCCCATCCCCGCCTCTTCGACCTGTTTGTTTCCTCTCCACCTATCCTCTCCTCTATCCCTCTTCTATCCGCCTCCCACTCTCTCCCTATTTATTTCAAAACCCCCTTCCCCTCCCCCTTTTCTGATGAAGGGTCTAGGCCCGAAACGTCAGCCTCTCTGCTCCTATGATGCTGCTTGGCCTGCTGTGTTCATCCAGCCCTGCACCTTGTTGTCTCGAACCCCATACAAAAACCCACTCCCACCACATTAACCTTACGATCCCAAATCCCAGGGTCAGTGATCCAGTTTTGAACTGGTTGGACAAAGTGTGGATTGTAAACTTCAGCGCTTGCACCAAAGTCTTCGTTTTACACAGTCTCACCTAAGTAACTGACAGGGGTTTTAGACAGTGTTGCTGTCCAGTACAGAAATTGCTTGTTAAAATTTGATGATTAACAAGAGTCTGCTCCTAATGCTTGGAAGCGAACAAAACATAAATTAATGGCGTTTTCTCCACTGCAGGAAGCAGTCATTTTGGCTTTTTCCAGTGTACATATTTGACTAAACATTGATTGGGACCGAGAACATTGGCTCATTCGTCCTCCTCTGCAGCTGTAGGCACTGAGGCCAATTATCATATTCCCACTGCCACCCGCCATGACTGAATTTGGCCCTATGCGGCCTGTATGAATTTATCACATCTTTATCCCTGTGCATTTCTCACAAAGCTCATTATAGATCCCATTGTTGCTTTAAGCTCTACTTCTCTGTAGATCTACAGTGGTTTTCCACCTAGGGATCTGTACATCAATAGATGGGCCTGGAACAATAAGGCCAAGCTCTTTGGGAAAATGACATTGACTTTGCAAACTTTGCTATTTCATTTCAAAGTGACCTGCAGAAAGCCAAAGATAATCATTCCTTAAAGTGATAAAAGCAATGACAGAATCAGATGACGGGCAGATGTTCAGGAAATAGTGTACATGAAACTCTTGTTTGATTTACAATAATCCTATTCACATGTACAGGTTACACTGTGTCAGCGCTGATGTTCTGATTACACTGTATCTCGTTGTGGATGGAGGCAGCTTCATTGAGGTTTTCAAAAGGGATTATGATCTGCAAAAGGAGGAATATGCAAAAGGAGGGGGAGAAAGCAGGGAATTGCTTATTTGGAGACCCAATGCTGTGTGTGGGCTGGGAAACTGTGAGGAGGATGCAGGGATGCTTCAGTGTCATTTGGACACATTGAGTGTGTGGGCAAATGTTTGGCAGCAGATTATCTAATTTGGTAGTGAAAACAGGAAGGCAGATTATTATCTGAATGGTGATAGATTGGGAAAGTGGGAGGTACAACAAGACCTGGGTGTCCTTGTACACCAGTCATTGACAGCATGCAGCTGCAGCAAACGATGAACAAGGCAAATAGTATGTTGGCCTTCATAGTGAATGGATTTGAGTACAAGAGAAGGGATGTCTTCCTACAATTGTACAGGGCCTTACTGAGATCACACCTGGAGTATTGTGTGCAGTTTTGGCCTCCTTATCCAAGAAAGGATGTTCTGGCTGTGGATGTGGAGAGAAACAAAAGTTTACCAGACTGATTCCTGGGAAGGCAGGACTGATGTATGAAGGGAGACTGTATTGGTTAGGACTATAGTGGGAGTTAGTGGGTGTGGTGTGGGTGTAGGAGTGGGTGTATCTGTGTGTGTGTGCACCAATGTGTGTGGTCCACACATCCCAGTATACCTAAAATAACCACAAATTTTGTTCTGTATCCTCATGTTTTTCACTTTGAGAAATATTAATCTGAATTTTGTTGAAATCAGACAAGCTCTGTATGCTCTTCTTCACAGGTTTTTCTCATAATGTGATGGAAAGGTGAAAATAATCAGCTATTCATATATTTCAACCACAGGAAATGTTAAAGGATGAAATTCGAACATTAACGTACAGGAATTCTGTTTACCACAACAAGCATGTGTTTAAAGACAAGATTGTGCTGGATGTGGGAAGTGGAACTGGGATTTTAGCAATGTTTGCAGCCAGAGCTGGAGCCAGGAAAGTGTTCGGGGTATGTTTTTCACATTGATTGTGCATCGTTTATCAATTCTCTTTAAAAAAGCCCATTGTGAACTAACCACTATAATGCCAAGCTGCTCCAGTGCATGACCCCCCTCCCCCCGTTCAATAAGGAACAACTCATCCCACTTTAAACCTGTCCTCGTTGTTAGCTGATTACAATAGCAACAAGTGACTCCTGCATAAGGGATTGGCAACATCTGCCGATGGTTCAACTCTGGATTGCAGCCTGACCATCTCTGCTCCACACATCATCCAGTGAGGGCTGGACCAACTTGGAAGTGACTCTTCCTATGGCTGTTGTCACTCGCTGTGCAGGTTTCCAGGTCAACCACAACAAATTGTACTTATATAGCGGACAACAGAACAACAGTTACTAGTAGTGTACCTCAAGGATCTGATTTGGGGCCACTGCTGTTTGTCATTTTTATAAATGACCTGGATGAGGGCATAGAAGGATGGGTTAGTAAATTTGCGGATGACACCAAAGTCGGTGGAGTTGTGGATAGTGCAGAAGGATGTTGCAGGTTACAGAGGGACATAGATAAGCTGCAGAGCTGGGCTGAGAGGTGGCAAATGGAGTTTAATGCGGAAGAGTGTGAGGTGATTCACTTTGGAAGGAGTAACAGGAATACAGAGTACTGGGCTAATGGTAAGATTCTTGGTAGTGTGGATGAGCAGAAAGATCTCGGTGTCCATGTGCATAGATCACTGAAAGTTGCCACCCAGGTTGATAGCGTTGTTAAGAAGGCGTACAGTATGTTAGGTTTTATTGGTAGACGGATTGAGTTTTGGAGCCATGAGGTCATGTTGCAGCTGTACAAAACTCTGGTGCGGCTGCACTTGGAGTATTGCGTACAGTTCTGGTCGCCGCATTATAGGAAGGATGTGGAAACATTGGAAAGGGTGCAGAGGAGATTTACCAGGATGTTGCCTGGTGTGGAGGGAAGGTCTTATGAGGAAAGGCTGAGGGACTTGAGGCTGTTTTCGATAGAGAGAAGAAGGTTAAGAGGTGACTTAATAGAGACATACAAGATGATCAGAGGATTAGATAGGGTGGACAGCGAGAGCCTTTTTCCTCGGATGGTGATGGCTAGCACGAGGGGACATAGCTTTAAATTGAGGGGTGATAGATATAGGACAGATGTCAGAGGTAGGTTCTTTACTCAGAGAGTAGTAAGGGCGTGGAATGCCCTACCTGCAAAAATAGTAGACTCGCCAACTTTAAGGGCATTTAAATGGTCATTGGATAAACATATGGATGATAATGGAATAGTGTAGGTTAGATGGGCTTCAGATTGGTTTCACAGGTCGGCGCAACATCGAGGGCCGAAGGGCATGTACAGCGCTGTAATGTTCTATGTTCTATGTTCTATGTTCTAACAAGGTGTTTCAGGTTGAGACCAAAGCATTGTATGCTTTCAAGGAGTTAGGTATAGTCCTTAGGACTAAAGGGATTAAAGGGTATGGAGAGAAAATAGGAACTGGGTACCGAGTTGGATGATCAGCCATGATCATATTGAATAGTGGAGCAGGCTCGAATGGCCTACTCCTGCTCCTATCTTCTACGTTTATAAATGGCATCATAAAGTCAAGTTAGACACCAAGTCACAATAGGCAATATTAGATGGCCAAGGGTTGGTCAAAGAAGTGGGTTTTAAAAAGCATCTTACAGGAGGGGACAGGGTGTGATAGAGAGATTTTGGGCCGGGGAGGTGAATTCAAAAGCTTAGAGCGCAGATGTAGAATCCCTACACTGTGGGAGCAGGCCATTCAACCCATCATGTCCACACTGACCTTCCATAGAGCATCCCACCCTATCCCTGTAACCCTCTACACTTCCCATGGCCAATCCACCTAATCTGCAAATCTTTGGACTGTGGGAGGAAACCAGAGCACCCGGAGGAAACCCATGCAGACACAGGGAGAACGTGCAAACTCCACACAGACACCTGAGGCTGGAATCAAATCCAGGCCCCTGTCATTGTGTGACAGCAGTGCTAACCACTGAGCCACCATGCCACACAGCCCTAACCAAAACTTCTCCATGCCTGGGTGAAAGTTGGTTAATGCTGGAATTGGGTGTTATTGATAGAATCTGGAACTAGGGTGTGATGTGAATGGGCAGCTGAAACAGCAGTGCCTACGAAACATTATCAGATCCTGTGAAAATTAACTCAGTTTAGTCTGAAATAACAGGGGTGGAGGGGTTACACCATTTCCTGTCTCTGACCATATGATGAAGCATCAGATCATAGTTTGTACACCTTTGAAACTAATTCAGGTTAAAGGATGACAAATTCGTCTCTAGATCTGGATGGCAATCGATCAGGCTTCAGCACATGAACAAAGAACAGTATAGGACAGCATTTATTGTTTCTGTTTGTTTGTATACACCCTGGATCCCTGACTCTGACCGCTAAATTATTATAAGACCATTACAAATTAGAGCATGAGTAGTGGGTATGGACCATCGAGCCTGCTCTGCTAATTATATCATTCTCTATATTCTTGGGCTTTGACTCCACTTCCCTGCCCCCTCTCCTTATTCCTCCATTTCCTGTGGGATAAAATCTATCAATTTCAGACTTAACTGTGTCCAATGTTGCAACATTCACAACGCTCTTAGGTAGAGAGTTCCAATGATACACAACCCACTTGAGTGAAGAAAGTGCTACTTCTGTGTCCCCATGACAAAACACCAGAGTTTGCTCCATACCCAACCTTGCATTTGCATTAACCAACTGAAAGAGCACATCAGTCCCATTCCCTCAACTTATAATTAGGAATAGTGTACTGACATGGATAGAGAACTGGTTGGCAGATAGGACACAGTATAGGAATAAACAGATCATTTTCTAGGTAGGAATGGCAGTGACTACTGGGATTCTGCAGAGATCAATGCTAGGACCCCAGATATTCACAATATATATTAATGAGTTAGATGAAGGAACTGTGTGTAATATCTCCAAGGTTGCAAAAAACACAAAGCTGTGTGGGCAGGGGAGCTGTGAGAAGGATGTAGAGATGCTTCAGTGTGATTTGGACAAGTTGAGTGAGTGGGCAGATGCAAGGCAGATGCAGATTAATGTGAATAAACGTAAGGTTATCTACTTTGGTAGCAAATATAGGAAGGCGGATTAATATATGAATGGCATAAGATTGAAAAAGGGGGTGTTGCAGCGGGACCTGGACGTCCTTGTACACCAGTTGCCAAAAATAAGCATGCAGATGCGGCAGGTGGTGAAGAAGGCAGATGGTATGTTGGCCTTCATTGTGAGAGGATTCAAGTACAAGAGTAGGGATGTCTTTCTATAATTGTACAGGGCCTTGGTGAGACCACCCTGGACTACAGTGTGCAGTTTCGGTCTCCTTCTCTGAGGAAGGATGTTCAGACTATGGAAGGAGTGCAACAAATATTTACCAGATGGATTCTTGGGATGGTGGAACTGACGAATGGAGAGGTACTAGATCGATTATATTCACTGAAGTTTAGAAGATGAAGGGGGGATCTCATAATAACATTTGAAATTCTAACAGGGCTATAACCGATTAAATGCAGGAAGGATGATGCTGATGACCAGAACAATGGGTCAAAGTCTAAGTATATAGGGCAGGCCATTTAGGACTGAGATGAGGAGAAATTTCTTCACCCAGAGAGTAGGGAAGCTGTAGAATTCTCTGCCGCAGAAAACAGTCGAAGTCAAAGCATTGAATATTTTCAATGAGTTAGATACAGCCCTTTGGGCTAAAGTGATCAAAGGGTGGAAAGCGGGGACAGGATACTAAGTTCGATGATCAACTTGATCATATTGAATGACAAGGCAGGGCCAAATTGCCGAATGTTCCAATTTTCTTTGTTTCATTACTTCTCCTTTAGATGCCTGATACACGCAGTCTCAGGCAGAGCTGAGCTGAATCAAAGCTGCCAATGTTGGCCTGATTTACTCACACTCCCTGTTGGCAAAGTGATGATCACAAACTTTAAAAATCACTCTTGTTGCTATAGGCATGAGTGACATTAACCTTGAAGTCACAGGTATAATTACCTGTTCTAAAATGAGTACAAGCAGAGATATATTTCAGTGCTCACAGGTTCATACTTTGTCTTTCTTTTAACACATCAGATTGAATGCTCCAGTATTTGTGATTACTCTGAGAAGATCATCAAGGCAAACCACTTGGATGATAGTAAGCAAATTAACAATCACAATTATGTATCTACAAATACATTGAGTTATTCTGTTGAAATGACCAAAATAATTTAATAATTTTTTGCATTGATCAGCAGGTTAATTAGAAATTATTTTCCCTTCTTAAATTAAAGGCTTTAAATAGTGCATTTTGTCGTCAAATATTTTGCAAGGACAAATGATGGCTTTTAAGTTGAAAGAGAATTGTCTTCTCATTAAAGATGTATTGTGTCCCAATGAGCTGATTTTTTGTTGAACTTATATTCAATGGTGAATTTGTGGTGTTTGTATTCCTATGTTGTGCTAACAGTGATTGGGGAAAAATACATTCTATTATAGCTGATACTAAACTGTGGTGTCGTTGTAACATCACTGGGTTAGTAATCCAGAGACTTCAGTTATAAGCATGGGGCATTGGTTCAAATCCCACAATGGCATTTGTTGGAATTTAAATGCTGTTGTTGAAAGAATCTGGAATTGAAAGTTAGCCTCAGTGATAGTGACCACAGTACCGCTGATTTTTGTAAAGACCCACCTGGTTCACCGATTTCCATTAAAGGAGGGAAATCTGCTATCCCTACCCTAAGTGTGACTCCAGACCAGGTTGATTTCTACCTGCCCTCTGAAATGACCAAGCAAGTCATTCAGTTCAAGGGTATTTAGGGATGGGAAATAAATACCATGTCTTGCCACATGCTATGAAAGAATAATTTTTTTTAAAAAATGAAAAAATATCTGTCTTTTTCAACTAATCAGAGAATTGCATGAAATGTTTTACAGTAATCACAATATTTAATGGTAAAGTGGAGGAAGTTGAACTGCCCGTGGATAAAGTTGACATTATAATCAGTGAATGGATGGGCTACAGCCTCTTCTATGAATCAATGCTTAATACAGTTATTTTTGCAAGGGATAAGTGGCTGGTAAGTGCACGGCTTCTCGTGTTTCTCAGAAGAAACTGTTGCTTTTGCATTATATTACAAATTATTGAATGTTGGTGTGAAACAGCTTCTGGTGATAAAAATGCAAAAAATGAAAGCAAGCAGATAGGGCACAAAAATTCAGATGTTGGAAAGAAAAGGACACGCATTTATATAGTGCCTTTCACTACCACATGATGTCCCAATGCACCTTTGCCAATTATATATGTTATCAAGTGGAGTCATGTAGCCAAATTACACATAGCAAGCTCCCACAAACTGCAGTGAGAGAAAGACCAGACAATCTGGTTTTTCTGTGATGTTGATTGAGGGTTGGATATTGGCTATGACACCATGGAGAATACCTATACCTTTCTTTGAAAAAGAGCCATGGGATCCTTTACATCCCCCTGAAAGGGCGCATGTGTGATTCAGAAATGTGAGTGTTTATCAAATATCATTGTACGTTGTAGCCTAGAGCTATGGGTAGCAATGATAGTGGCTTCAATTTCTGTCCATCAAAGAATCTCTCCCGTTTACACACATTAGAAGGATTGATTGGCTGCATTACAAAAGCACTTTCTGTGACTGCCAAATCCTTGAATGGGACTCGAACCTATAGATTTTGATTTTTAGGCAGGAATACAACCACTGTCCCACAAAACCATAGATAATCCATAAGATCATGGATTGATGAAGGAAGTACAATCTGAAATGACGATTGAGTAGACAACAGTAAAAGTGTGTAACAGATGCGGGTTGGATTCTCCTTTGTATGTGCAGTTCAAAATGTGATATCTTTATCAGGTGAATAGATTACGACACCCATTTCCCCAAAATTCACCAACAGAAACCTGGAGGACTGATGTTCCCTGATCGTGCCACACTTTACATTGTTGCCATCGAAGATCGACAGTACAAGGACTTCAAAATCCACTGTAAGATCATGTCTGAATGTTGTGTATTCATGTAGCTTCCTGTGTTTCATTATCTCATTTGAGGGCATGAATCTGGGTTTTCTTTATAACCTCTACGATCTAACCACTGGCCAAAGTTACACATTGTTAATATCCACACCTGGTTCATGTGATAGGCTTGGTTTTGTTGCACTGCTAAAGAATATTTGCAGAGTCTGCAGAGGTAAGAAAGACATTGACTTTAAGAAACATCTTACAGTGGCTTCATCTTGCCGTGAGGCAGCAAAAGGGGGCAAGATCATGTGGCATGGCATCATTTCTTGTGATCATATACACGGTGTCTCATTTGGTTTATCACACAATCAAAATCTAGTCCCTTATGCTGTACTGCAGTCTAGCAAACACATCTGATCCCAGAGACTCTGGTAGGTGGGAATCGTAAAAGTTAATGGGTTACATCTGGACAGGAATGGAACCAGCATCGTCCTAGAGAAGTTTGCTAATGTGGTTGGGTGGATTTAAATCAGATGAGCAGGAGGATGGTATCCTGACAAGTTGAGAGAAGCTGAGATGAAATTAAAATTTAGAATGTGAGTATGAGAGTCTGGAAAGAGGGAGAACATTGAAATTGATAAGAAAGAAGTGAGTTTAGAAAGGCTAAATGGAATAAATGTAGTGCAAGGAGCCTGAGGAACAAGGTGAGCTAAAGGCACAGATAGGCAGATGGGAATACGATATTATAGCTGAAAGATAAGCACAATTAGCACCTCAAAGTTCCTGGTTATAGGGTATTCAGACAAATTAGAGGGAGAGATAGAAGAGGCAGGGCACTGCATTATTAATAAAGGAATCAATTCTAGCAGTGAGGAGTAATGATATAGCATCCCCACAGTGTGAAAGCAGGCCATTCAGCCCATCAAGTGCACACTGGCCTTCTGAAGAACATTTCACCCAGGCCACTCCCCCCATCCCATCCCATCCCATCCCAGCATTTCCCATGGCCAACCCACCTAACCTGCACATCTTTAGAGTTTGGGAAGGAAATCAGAACAACTGGAGGAAACCCACACTGACAATAGGGAGAACATGCAAACTCCACACAGACAGTCACCCAATGGTGGAATCAAGTGGAGGTCCCTGGCACTGTGAGGCAGCAGTGCTAACCACTGAACCACCGTACTGCCCCAAACATTACATCCTCCCCAGTGGGGAGTTGAACCTCGGTTGCCCATGTGACAGGCAGGGATACTAACCACTATACTACCTAGGACATTGGCCCATATTGGAAGGATTGATGAGTGAAGCCATGTTTAGGACAGCACAGTGAGATGCTCTTTGGAGGATTGGTGTGGACTCAATGGGTTGAATGTCCTGCTTCTATACAAAATAGTAATTCTATATGAATTAAAGTGAAAAGCACATTGGGCAAACACATAGTTGGGTGTGTGCCATAGGCTCCCAAACAGCTAGGAAGAGATAGAGGATCAAATATGTAACCAAATTTCAGAGAAGTGTAAGAATAATAAGACAGTAAGAGTAGGGGTCTTAACTACAAGGGAGGGCAGGAGCAAATTCTTATTTTGCACCCAGGAAAAATTTTTTACCGAGTATGTAGAAAGCCCAATAAGTCAGGGGCCAGTTCTGAAGAAGAATTATATCAGACTTGAAACATTAACTTTGTTTCTCTCTCTACAGATGCTGCCAGACCTGCTGAGTTTCTCCAGCATTTTTGTATCTATTTCTAACAATTGAGGTGCAGTTCAGTAAAATTAAGAAATGAAGCTGGGCAGGTGGAAAGTGCATGAGGAGTGGAGCATTTTGGAGATAGTGACCATAACTTAGTTATATTTAAAATAGTTAGGGAAAAGGATAAGGTGAACTGAGAATAAAAAAATCTAAACTGGGGAAAGGCTGATTTTACTAAGATGATTTGACAAAAGTGGACATGGGCCAGCTGCTTGCATATAAACCTGGGTCAGAACAGTGGGAGGTATTCAAAGAGGGAATAGTGAGAACTCATGGCAAATATGTTCCTGTAAATCAAAGGGGTCTTGACTGGAAAAGCCTGGATGTCAAGGGACACAGAGGTTAGGATTAAGAAAGTAAGAGGTATATGGCATATATACAGGGTTCAATGCAGCAGAATCCTTAGAGAAGTAAAACAGGGGGGAACATAAAAAGGGAATTAGGAAGGCAGAGTGCAAGAGAAAGCATTCTCTGGTAAAAGAAAGGAAATTCCTTATAGTTTTTCTGAATATACAAACAGCAACAGAATAACTAGGGAAAGATTAGGGCTCATTAGAGCTAACCTTAGAAGTTAATAGCGTCAAGGAACTGTAGCAAATCTGGAATTATTGGGAATTGGGGGAAAATCCTCTGCTTGTTGAAGTCCTACTTTGGGAAGATGGTCGTGGTTGTTGGAGGTCAGTCATCTCAGCTCCAGGACATCTCTGCAGGAGTTCCTCAGGGTAGTGTCCTAGGTCCACAAATTTTCAGCTGCTTCAACGAAGTTCCCTTCGTCATAAGGTCAGAAATGGGGATTTTTACTGATGATTGTACAATGTTTAGCACCATTTGTAACTCCTCAAATACTGAAGCAGCCCATGTCTAAATGCAACAAGATCTGGACATTTTCCAAGTTTGGGCTGACAAGGGACAAGTAACATTGTGCCATATGTCAGGCAATGACCATCTCCAATAAAATCTGAACACTGCCCTTGATATTCAATAATGTTACCATCACTGAATCCCCCACTATCAACATCCTGGGGATTACCATTGACCAAAAACTGAACTGGACTTGCCACATAAACACAAGGGCTACAAGAGCAGGTCAGAAGCTAGGAATACTGCAGTGACTTACTCACCTACACACTCCCCAAAATCTGTCTATTGTCTACAAAACACAGGTCAGGAGTGTGGTGGAATGCTCCCCATTTGCCTGGATGAGTGCAGTTCCAACAACACTCAAGAAACTTGATACCATCCAGGACAGAGCAGCCCACTTGATTGGCACCATATCCATTAACATCCATCCCTCCACCACCAACGCTCAGTAGCAGCAGCGTGTACTATCTACAAGATGCACTGCAGAAATTCACCAAAGATCATTAGACAGCACCTTTCAAACTCACAACTACTTCCATCTAGAAGGACAAGGGCAGCAAATACATGGGAACACCACCACCTGCAAGTTTCCCTCCAAGCCACTCACCATCCCGGTTCAGAAATATATTGCCATTCCTTCACTGGCACTGGGCCAAAATCCTGGAAGTCCCTCCCTTATGGCATTCCAGGTCAACCCACAGAAGATGCAGTGCAGTAGTTCAAGAAGGAAGCTCATCACCACCTTCTCAAGGACAAATAGGGATGGGCAGAAAATGCTAGCCAGCCGACACCCATAAATAATAAAAACGTATTTATTTATAAGCCAACTGGCTCCAAGACTACTCTATTTATGCTATAATGCAGTTGGGCTGGGCAAGATTGGGAGTGCACCATCTCATCATGGGCTGGTGGGGGTGGCGGTGGCCTGTGCTCAATAGGGCATCCATCCCAGAAGCTGGTAATCCACTTTGTGCCTCCCATCCTGGCTTCCAAACCCGCCCCCCTCCAAGCCCCCCCTCCAACCACAAATCCTGTCGTCTCCTAAGGTGCCCGATAACCCTTCCCGACTGTATCTGAGATCCAGTGACTTCTTATAGTCTTGGCAGTGCCCCTACTCCTCGGTTCACACCCTGTGGGGGCCAATCAGATCAGCCAGCAGCTCTTGAGGATAGGGCCGTCCTGTCTCCAAGGGACACATGAGGCACCCTCTGTCCATTACATCTGTTGACTGGGGATTATTGCTGCGGGGACAGCCTATTTTTCAGTTGAACAGTTGAGACCAACTTTTGTGCAAATAAAAGAACACAGGAAGATAGTAGCAGGAGTAGGCCATTCTGCCCCTCAAGCCTGCTCTGTCATTCAGTGAGATCATGCATGATCTGACTGTGGCATCAACTCTACTTTCCTGCCTGTTCTTGATAACCATTGACTACCTTGTCAATCAAAATGTAACTCAGCCTTGACTATATCCAGTGACCTCAGCTTCCCACACCAATGACTCTCAGAGAATAAAAATCTCCTCATCTCAATCTTAAATAGGAGACCCCTTACTGGTACTTGTACTCCGTCAAAGTGGAATCATCATTTCTCAACAGCACTGCTCGGTTGGGAACTTTAGATTTGAACTTGAAGAAACAAAGAGAAAATTTGAATTTACAATGATGGTCTTCACACCCCTCAATGCAGCTAAATGAAGCAATTCTGAAATGTAATTGCTGTAGTATCTACTTCTTGATGACAGGTCTGACTCCATTGCCATAGCCTCCACCACTGCTGAGGCAAAGGGCCAGGTCCAACATTCACCACAGCCAGAACAGAGACTGACTCCAGTTCAATCTGGTCCATAGAAGCTGTCCAGCCAATTCCGTAAACCGCCTTCTCTCCATGGAATGTGAGCTATCTGTGCCCTGGGCACCTTTACTTGTCTGTTCCAGCTCAGACCAATGGAAATTGATGGTAGAATCTCCAATCTCTACCTATCACATGGTTGTCTAGGAATCTCTCCCATTTAGCAAGAATTGGAAAGATTACCTCGCCATCTGTTTGGCCACATTACAAATGGACCTTCTGTGGCCATAAAGTCCTGGAGTGGGACTCAAACCAATAGTTTCTGGCTCAGAGGCAAGGACGCTACATACTGCACCCCGAGGCTGTAATATGGAATAAACGGATATGCAAGGGTTAATTTGAATGCATTGTTGGAGACAGTCTCAGCCAGTTGTAGCTGAAGGCAGTTATATCTTCTACTCTTCAAGCTACCCTTGGTGCAATGAAGACTGTATAATTACTAAGATGTAATAAACCTTATCTTTTCAGCAAAGGTACGCACCTGTTTTGATGAGATTTATTCATAGTCCGTCCTCCACAACAGGCTAGGGCACAGCTCATAGGCTGGCATAGGAAGGAGGATTAATGGCAGGACTCTACCTCATTACAAATGGGTGGTATCCAGGCCTCTTACCCCATCCTCTGTGAGCCCCTTGACACTTGCCTCATTCCTATGGCTATCTGCCACATGCATCCCACCACCATCTACCATGATGTGCCAGTAATCTTGCGTGTTGTTGTCTCCTCTCTTTGCCTTCTGATCATTTGTATAAACTGACTTGAGCTTTGGCATCTCCTTTTCTCCGATTCAAGAGCGAACTATATTGTAAATGGAAAAGCCCTGGGGAAAAGTGATACACAGAGAGATCTGGGTGTTCAGGTCCATTGTACCCTGAAGGTGGCAACGCAAGTCGATAGAGTGGTCAAGAAGGCATACGGCATGCTTTCATTCATCGGACGGGGCATTGAGTACAAGAGTTGGCGGGTCATGTTACAGTTGTATAGGACTTTGGTTCGACCACATTTGGAATACTGCGTACAGTTCTGGTCACCACATTACCAAAAGGATGTGGATGCTTTGGAGAGGGTGCAGAGGAGGTCCACCAGGATGTTGCCTGGTATGGAGGGCGCTAGCTATGAAGAGAGGTTGAGTAGATTAGGATTATTTACATTAGAAAGACGGAGGTTGAGGGGAGGACCTGATTGAGGCCTACAAAATCATGAGAGGTATAGACAGGGTGGATAGCAAGAAGTTTTTCCCCAGAGTGGGGGACTCAATTACTAGGGGGTCACGATTTCAAGGTGAGAGGGGAAAAGTTTAGGGAGATATGCATGGAAAGTTCTTTATGCACAGGGAGGTGGGTGCCTGGAACGCGTTGCCAGCGGAGGTGGTGGAGGCGGGCACGATAGCATCATTTAAGATGTATCTAGACAGATACATGAATGGGCAGGGAGCAGAAGGATACAGATCCTTGGAAAATAGGCAACAGGTTTAGGCAAAGGAACTGGATCGGCGCAGGCTTGGAGGGCCGAAGGGCCTGTTCCTGTGCTGTAATTATCTTTGTTCTTTGTCCTTTGTTCTTTAGGGTGGGAGAACGTTTATGGTTTTGACATGACGTGCATCAGGAACGTTGCCATAAAGGAACCTCTGGTAGATATTGTGGATCCTAAACAAGTTGTGACCAATGCTTGTCTCATCAAGGTGTGGTGAACATCTTTTGGAATAATCCATTTGGTTATCAGAACAACGACATTAATGCAATCTATTAGATCTGGAACCTATACAAGCCCAGTACTAATGTCACTGAACTAATAATCCAGTCTAATGCTCTTCAGACACAGGTTCAAATCCCAGTAAGGCAACTGGTGAAATTTTAAATTTGATGAATAAATCTGGAATATAAATCTAGTTTAATTGCTGGTTCACTCATGTACTTTAGAAAGGAAATCTACTGTCCTTGCCCAGTCTGGCCTACATGTGACTCTCAGCAATGTGTTGACTCCAGAAGAGTCATAAGGCCACTAGACAAGAATAGGCATTCAGCCCATCAAATCTATTCTGCCTTTCAATAAGCTCATGGCTGAATTCATAGTCCTCAACTCCACTTTCTTGTCTTATCCCCACAACCATTGATTCCCTTCATGATTAGAAAGCTGTTTAGCTCAGCCCTGAATGTACTTAAATAACCAAGCCTCAACAGTCAAGTGTACTAAAGGATTCCACAGATTCACTAACTTCTAAGACAAAACAAATCCTCCTCACCACGGTGTTAAATAAGTGACCCCTTACTCTGAGATTATCCCCCCTGGATTGTAGAATCACCCAGAAGGCGAAACCTCTCTGCATTACTCTGTCAAGTCCCCTATGAACTGTATGCTTCACTGGGGTTTCCTCTCATTCTCCTCTATAAGATGATGAGATATAGGAGCAGAATTAGGCCATTTTGCCCATTGCATCTGCTCCACCGTTTGATCATGGCTGAAATGCATCTCAACCTCATTCTCTTGCCTTCCCCGCCCCGCTAACCCTTGATCCCCTTACCAACCAAGAACCTATCTATCTCTTAAATACACTCAGTAACTTGGCTTCCACAGCCTTCTGTGGCAAAGAGTTCCACAGATTCACCACACTCTGGCTGAAGAAATTCACCCTCATCTAAGTTTTAAAGGGTCGTCCCTTCACACTAAGGCTGTGCCCTTGGGTCCTCGTCTCTCCTACTAGCAGAAACATCTTCTCCAAGTCCACTCTATCCAGGCCTCTCAGAATCCTGTAAGTTTTAATCAGATACCCCCACATCCTTCGAAGCCTCATCAAGTACAGACCCAGGATCCTCAACCACTCCTCATATGACAAGCCCTTCATTATCGAGATAATTTTTGTAAACTTCCACTGGACCCTCTCCAAGGCCAGCACATCCTTCCTTCGATATGGGACCCAAAACTGTTCACAGTATTCCGAATATGGTCTGACCAAAGCCTTATACAGCCTCAACAGTTCATCTCTGCTTTTATATTCTAGCCCCCTTGAAATGAATACTAACATTGCATTTACCTTCTTAACTGTCAACTGAACATGCAAGTTAACCTTAAGAGAATCCTGAACTAGGACACCCAAGTTGCATTCTGCTTCAGATTTCTGAAGCCTTTTCCCATTTAGAAAATAGTCTATGCCTCTATTCTTCCTACCAAAGGACATAACCTCACACTTTCCCACATTATATTCTATCTGCCACTTGTTTGCCAACTCTCCAAGCCTGTCCAAGTTCGTCTGCTGCCTCCCCACTTCCTTAACACTACCTGTCCGTCCATCTATCTTTGTGTCATCTGCAAACCTAGCAATAATGCCCTTGGTTCCTTCGTCCAGATTGGTCATATATAATGTCAATCGTTGTGGTCCCAACAAGGACCTCTGCAGAACTTCACAGTTTACCAGCTTCCATCCTGAAACAGAGCTCTTTATTTCCACTTTCTTCCTTCTGCCAGTCAACCAATCCTCTATCCATGCCAGTACCTTGTCCCTAACCACCATGGACTCTTATTTATCTTATCAAAGGTCTTCTAAAAATCCAAAAAGATCACCTTCACTGGCTCTCCTTTGTTTAACTTGCTTGTTACCTCCTTAAATACTTCTAACAGATTTGTCAGGCATGACCTCCTCTTGACCAACGCTGCACTGACTCAGCCCCATGTTATCATGCACTTCCAAGTACTCCATAATCTCAGCCTCAATAATGGACTGCTAAAAGCTTACCAACGACTGAGGTCAGGCTAACCGGCCTGTAGTTTCCTGTCTTCTACGTCCCTCCCTTTTTAAACAGGTGTGTTGCATTAGCCATTTTCCAGTCCTACAGGACTCTCCTTGACTCCAGTGATTCCTGAAAGATCACAATGCCTCCACAATCTCTTCAGCTATCTTCTTCAGCAATCTTGTCTGCGTTATTTATCCACATTCAGACCTTTCAGCTTCGCCAGCACTTTCTCCTTAGTGATGGCCACTGCACTCACCTCTGCCGCCTGACTCTCTTGAAGTTCTGGCATGCTGCCTGGTATCTTCCACTGTGAAGCTCCAACAAGTATGAGCCCAACCTATTCAACCTCCCCTCATAAGAAAATCCCTCCCTACCTACGATCAACCGAGCGAGTGTGACTGAACTGCCTCCATTGTCAGTATTTCTTTCCCTGGTTAAGGAAATGAATTGCTTTCAGAAGCAGTTAGGGATGGGAATCAATTGCTGGCCTAATTGGTGATGGCCCCATCCTGTGAAAAAAAATCATTTTAAAAACTTGCTGGTTCACTTCCCTCAGTATCCAGGTGACAATCAGAGAAATAAACTTGGAATCTCTTTCCTACTCTTAGCTGTAAATAAATTATTACAGAGTCCAGCAATGAAGTCACTTGTTAATCAGATGTTGGGTTGGGCAGCAAGCACACCCTGCTCTGTGTTGATGATGGAACAGGTGTAGGACCGGTTACATACCTCCCAATTTGTTTAGCCTAAGGTGTTGTGTCTCCTTTATGAATTTTCATTAAGTGATGCATGGCCTTTCCTTTCCTCAATTCCATCTAAGATTGAAGTCCAATTCACTGAGAATGATGTGTGGGTCTTTCATCTGGCGCAAATCTCCTTCAACAGGGTGCCTGCTACAGGCTGAGGAGGGAGGAGCTGAGATGTTAGGGAAGAACACATTGTGGAAACTCAGGAGACTCAGCCAATCTGCCCCTCCCCCAACCATCCCGTCACCCCCACCGATTCCTTTCCAAACGAGGAATCAATCCCAGATCAATCTCTTCATTTAGGCTCCCTATCCTTGAGCCACCCCAAGCCCAGCCCCTCATCTGGTAGCATATTTAAGTAAGAAATCACATTGAGTTCACAACTGGGCTCCCTCTCACATTGTACCCCCCACCCAACCTCCCCAGTCTCCTGCTCCTCATCTGTGTCAGCTGTACCCCATCCCCTTGACCACGCCCTTTCTTCTCTGTCTATTGTTCACCTCCATCCATTCCCCCCCATTGACCCCCATGAAAATAAACACTGGAATTTGAGGGCAAATTGCCAACAAAGTATTTGGTTTATGCATTGACGAGAGAGAAAGGAGTCGTGTTGGTGAGGGATATTGAGAAATAACAGAAGTATTTCTCCATTTAGGAGGTGGATATCTACAATGTGAAGACCGAGGACCTGTCGTTCACCTCCACATTCTGTCTTCAAGTTCAGCGAAACGAATATGTTCACGCTTTGGTCACATACTTTAACATTGAGTTTACAAAGTGTCACAAGAAAACCGGGTTTTCTACAGGTAATTGTCAACAACTGTTGTACTTTAATCAAACAGCTTTGAAATGTCGAATGCTCATATGGTCCAGGTAAACTAACTTTTTGTCATGTATAATCATAGAGTCTGACAGCACAGAAGGAGGCCATTTGGTCCAGCGTGTGCATGTTGACTCTTTGAAAGAGCTGCGCAAATTACTTCTTCATCGTAGTTTGTTCTCCTATATTCCTTCTTATTAATCTTCTTCGAAAGGGGAAGCAATGGCCTAGTGGTATTATCTCCAGACTATTCATCCAGAAACTCAGCTAATATTCTGGGGACCTAGATTTGAATCCCATCAGGGGAGAAAGTAGAATTTGAATTCAATAAAATATTTGGAATGAATGGTCTAATGATGACCATGAAACTGTTGTTGGGGGATGGGGTGGGGAAGGCCCATTTGGTTCATTGATGTCCTTTAGGGAAGTAAACTGCTATCCTTACCCGGTCTGGCCTCCATGTAACTCCAGGCCCCCAGCAATGTGGTTAAGTTTTCACTGCCCTTTGAGCAATTAGAAATGGCCAATAAATACTAGTCTAGCCAAATACACACACATCCTGTGAACGAATTAAAAGAACAGACATGTCCAATTGCCTTTTTCTAGAAAAGTCATACACTGAATTCCAGATGTTAGAAACAATCTGTGTGAAAGAAACATCTTCTCATGTCTCCTCTAATTCCTTCGTCAATTATTATGGAAAAGTTGCAGAGAAACTGAGGAAGAGAAGTTAAGTGTCAGAGATGGACCAGCTAAAAGTGGGAGATGGGTGGAATTTGGAAGCAAATTGCAAACTATTTCAAAATGCACTTGAAATGTTCTAACCTCCAAGCTGTGGAGTGACAGCTGGCAATTCGGATTACACTGGGTAGCAGGTAAAGACACAATGGGCTGAAAGTCCTCCTTCTGTAACTTTTCTGGTCTGGTTGGAATAAATTATAGTTGATTTTTTTATAGATGCTTGGACTTTCACAGGAGTTTATATAAAACGTTTTGGGAAGTGTTTCATTTTTGTTTATTAGCAGTATTTTAATACAATCATAGATTAGTACTATGATATTACTGACATAGAATCATAGTTTTACTAACTGGCAATTGTTTTGCAGCTCCTGATGCTCCATATACACATTGGAAACAGACGGTGTTTTACTTGGAAGACTACCTAACTGTGAAACGGGGAGAGGAGATCTGTGGAACCATGGCAATGAATCCCAACGCAAAAAATAATGTGAGTCAAAACATGGCACTTGGAACAAGCACAATGGAAAGATTGTCTCTTTTCAGCGTGGGTTCCAAAGTCCTTTTGTGGTTAATGATTAGTAGTTAGTGTTAGTTGTATTTAAGCTGTTTTTCTTTAACATTGTTATTCAGGGAGAGGAATCTACCTCCTTTGCCCTGTCTAATGAACATATGACTCAACTCAAGAACAAAAACAACTCAGTGGTTAATTCTTAATAGCCCCGATAGGGCTGACCAATCAGCTGCCATAAAAAATGGGGCTGGTCTCCTGTTATAACTGTGATCCCACATGATCCAGTGAATAATTAGGAGCCATTTCTCGAGGCACAGTTTTAGATTACACAGAATTACACTCCGTGCAGAAACAGGCCATTCGGCCCAACCGGTCCAGATCCACTCCAACCTCCTCAAATCCCTCATTCTCGTACTTTTGTCAGCATTGGCCCTTATCCCTTCTCCTTCGAATGCTTATCCAACTTCCCCTTAAATGCCTTGACCATTCCTTGAACTAGCCAGTTCCACATTCTCACACTTCTCTGGGCCTGTCCTTGCCCTGCAATTTATGGGTCCCCTCCCCTTTGATTTATTGCAACCCTCCTCCCACCACACCCCATCCCACAATTTTTGGATGGAGAATGAGATAAGGAAGTTGAATTGAAGCCCAAGATCAGCCATGATAGTATTGGCTGGTTGTCAAAGCTTGATGGGCTGAATGGTTTCCACCTGCTTCATTACTGGGGAGAGAGGTTGCTTTTGGATTCCTGATTTGAATTACTAGCATCTATCTTATATTGATGGCCTCTAGTTTTACTCTTTCCTCATGGGTTTACACAGCCCATCATCCAGATTCGTGTACTTCCAGTTTGTCTTTGGCTTTAGTTCGGATTTGCCATTTTGTTTTATTGCTACTAGCTTTTCTTGTGTTTGTAACTCTATGTTGCGTCCTTTGCTGACCAACCTCTCAGCAATAACCTGGGCCCCAATTCAAAAATTCAAGGTCATATCTTTCTGAGTTAATCTCTGCATCGCACCATATGTTGTAGATATCTGGTGCATTATGACTTGAGTGTAACCTAAGTCTTGCCTGGGTACATCTCAGCTTCAGCCCAGCAAAATATTTTGAAATTGGCACTTATGAAGAGAACAAAAATGGAATCTACCTTTAATCACAAATTGTTCTTTGTAACTGACAAGAACAAAGCCATTTTCAAATCCCTCCATGGCATTTCCCTTCCCTATCTCTGTAATCTGTTCCAGCTGCACACCCGCTGTAACTTCTGCTCTTCTCCCATTCTGGCCACTTGAACATCACCATTTTGATTGGACCAGCAGTGGCAGCCATGCCTTCAGTTGCCTGAGCCCCAAGATCTGGAATTCCCTCCCAAAATCTCTCTGACTCTCTACCTTATTCCCCTCTTTAAACACATTTCTTATAGACTTCCTCCTTGGCCAATTCTTATCCTAATATCCACTGGCTTGGGGTCATATTTTGCCTTGCGGCCATCTAGTAAAGTACTTTGGGTCATTGCAATGTGTTAAAGATGCTAAGCAAATAGAAGATGCTGCCGCTCTTAATAATCAAGACATCTCCTGCCTGTGGTCATTACTTATCAATGAATGGTAGCCACTCTCTCTCTCTCTCTCTCTAGACTGGTCACCACAACTTAGTGAAGTTGGCAATATTTCTTGTGTTTTCTATTTTTAATGGAGATTTGGTTGTGACAAGTTATCCTTTCTGTCACCAAGATTGAATGATTGTAGTCGGCTCTTCTTTGACAGTAACTTTACTTCCACAGAACGCTACAAAGCAGATCCTTCTGTCATTTGTCACAATAAATACAGACAGTTTTTGTAGCTTTCAGCTGCTTGGATTGTTTGGTGTCAATAACATTGACTTTCTCATCGTAATGCTGGGAATTATGTAACAGGAAGAAAATCAAGTCACTAGCTGATTTCAACACTGCTGCCAATTTATTAACAGTTTTTCCTCAAATTAAGTTCATCAATCTTCGAAGGGTGGAACCAGGATTAGGGGAAATTTCAGGATTTGTTGTCTATCACACTAGAAATTAAGTGACCAAAAATTACTGTTTCTCATGGAAAAGATGATTGGAATTTCCCATCACTGTTTTTCTTTATTAATACTGAGATAATATTAATAATTTAAATAATATTTTAATTAATATTAATAATAAGGTTGTAAAGAGGAACACATTAGCCCAAGATAAGTGAACTCAAATAGGGGAAACTGTCAGTTACATTTTGTTGTTGTTTCTCTTTATTCTGTCATGGTATGTGGGTGTTACTGGTGAGGTCAGCATTTGATACCTATCCCTAATTGCCCTTGAACTGTGTGACTTGCTCCACTTTAGAGCTAACTATATTGCTAAGGATCTGATGTCACAGGTCGGCCAAACTGGGTAAGGACAGCAAATTTCCCTTCCCTGGGCATTGGAGAACCATGTGGGTTCTTGCAACAAATAATGGTAGTTGTCGTGGTCATCATTACTATAACTGGCTTATAATGGTGAGATTTGAACTCAACTGCACAGTGTATTATCCTGGACCTCAGGATTATGAGTCCAATGAAATTCCCAGTACACCAACATCTCCTCTGCTGTGACGGTAGAGTAAGTGATGAACCTACGAATAGGTGCTCTAGAGAATGGACATTTATTTAACAAGTTGCATAATGTAAAGATGACACTAGTCAGGTCAGAACTGGACTGATTTTCTCTGCTGTGTTATCACTGACATCTCCATAAGCCATTCTCCGGCTCTCCCTCTGTTTTATAGAGTCATAGAGTCATTCAGCACAGAAAGAGACTCTTTGGTCCAACTCATCCATACTGACCAAGTTGCTCAAACTAAACTAGTCCCATTTGCCTGCATTTGGCCCATATCCCTCTAAACCTTTCCTATTCATGTACCTAACCAAATGTCTTTTAAATGTTGTAACTGTACCTGCATCTATCACTTTCTCTGGAAGTTCATTCCGTATTTGAACCACCCTCTGTGTGAAAAAGTTACCCCTCAGGTCCCTTTTAAATCTTTCTCCTCTCACCTTAAAAATATGAGCCCCTAGTTTTGAACTCCCCCCACCCTAGGGAAAAGACCTTTGCTTATTCAGCTTATCTATGCCCCTCATGATGTGATAAACCTCTACATAGGTCACCCCTCGAACTCCTGTGCTCTAATGAGAAAAATCCCAGGCTATCCAGCCTCTCCTTATAACTCAAACCCTCCACTCCTGGCAAATCTTTTCAGAACTCTCTCCCATTTAATAATATCTTTCCTTTAGCTGGCTATCCAGAACTGTACACAATACTCTAAAAGTGGCCTTACCAATGCCCTGTACAAGCGCAACATGACATCCCAACTCCTATACTCAACCAGGAGACACCTCAAAACTTGGGGCGTCTTACCATCAACACTGCCTGTGGAATATCCCACATATCGAGTGGGAGGACTGATACATCACCATCAGCGTCCTCTCACACAAACAGACACTACAAGCATCAAGGCTATGGCCATCCAGCGTCAGCTTAGTTGGGTTGGACGTCAGATACCGGGCTCCTGAAGCCAGTTGCTATTGTCCTAGCTCAGTCAGGGTAGACACTCCAGAGGAGAATGGAAGAAACTCTTCAAGGGTGTGCAGAAAGCCAATGTGAAGATGAGGCTATCACCCTGAACTGAACCAGATGGAGGCATCTGTGCGAATGATCCCAGCATCCCGAGACCCAAAGGCAACAAAATTAACAGGAAAAGCGAGAGTGGAGCAAAGCGTGAGCCAAGTCACCAAATAACAATACACAACCAGACATGCTACACAAGAAATCCCGGAGGTGTCATAAAGTCTGTAGATCCTGAATTAGCCTCAGTAGCCATTTCTGGGACTCATGGGAAAAGAGCATTCTTCCCTGTGAGGGATTGTCAGTAGCGGTATGTAAGTGTATGGGGGAGAAAGGAAATGTCCAGTTACACTGACTGAGTCTGATGAGATTAGGTTTGAGTGGAGCCAATCATGGAGTGATTGGTAATGACCTGTTTGAGAAACACTGCAGCTAATATTGAGTTGTATTCCTCATAGACACGTTACTTTGGTAGGTAACCAGCCATGCTCTACAAATGACCATAGACCATTAGAGAGGGGCAAGAGATTATATAGTTATTTATCAAGCATGAGGCAAGGCAAGGGGACAGAAAGCCCGTTTTGGCATTGAACCCACACTGTGGGTGCTATTGTGCATCACACACTCACCATCCAACCAACTGAACTGACCGACCCTAAACCTTTGGTTTAATTTGAAATGGATTGAATTCAGTTTGTAATAGTGTAGTAACAGAAGTAATTTCATTGTTGAAATTAAAGAATCTTGATTTGCTTTTGTTGCAGCGTGATCTGGATTTCAGTCTGCAGCTGGACTTCAGGGGCCAACTGTGCGAAGCATCTCTCTCTCATGATTACAGAATGCGTTAAGTGCACTCTCCATCAGAACGATTGTATCTCAGATCTTAACACATTGGAAGTGATTCTAGAATTATGAACATCAAAGACATGAAACCCTGCAGCTAATACACCTTCCTTCAACATAAGAACATGCTGCTAGAGTAATAAGAACAGTCAGTTCTGCCATTTGGCTTCAAAATGGTACTCTTCACTTAAACCAGTACCATACATGGTTGCAGGGTCGATGAATTCCAGTAAATGGATATCAAAACTGTTGTTTTAAAGTGTTTGTTTCAAGAGCCTGGGCCCTGAAGCAGGAGGAAGCTCAGAATGTATGACAAGATTAAATGGGATACTAATGGCTGCTTCACAACTGCTTGTAAGAAATGCTAGAATTATTTTTTGCCTGAACAAAAATTCTGCTGAAATTAGCAAAAGATATCTCCCTGCACTGTGCCCCTGTAGAAATTCAGTTCAACAACAAGCACATTTTCTTTAGTCCCAGCTGCTGAAGAAATGGTCTTGCACACATTCATGTTTTGATGCATTGCTAAATTGACCGTTCAGGGATGTTACTATACACCTCTGGAGCAAGTTTGACTTGAACCCAGGTCTCCTAGCTCAGAGGTAGGGATGCTACCACTATACCACAACAGCCCTGCTTTCATTGATGCATTAAACTTGGGTGGTTAATCCGGATCACGTCATTCCAAACCTCTCAATGCTAGCTTAACTTTTGAATATTAACGGACAAAATGTTTACCTGAAGTATTTGTCAGAAGGTTCTTCTCATGCATAATTCACATGATGAATGTAAATTACTTGGTAACTGATTAACTGCGAGTTGCAAAAATAGAATTTAATTAGCTTTTCATTTTCACATTTTTGTAATTGAAGACAGTGTAGTTACAAGTCTTTGACTGAAACTGGTATCAAACAAAAGTAAGAAAATGTGGTTTGTGTTGCTGTGTGACCAAGTATTGAGCCCCGGATGGCATTGTGTTACAAGCTAGTGACGACAGCGTGTGGCTAAAGTGAAATATGTTCCAAAAAGATAAGCTTTCTCATTTAATGCTTGTTCCTTTACTACAACAATGATTAAATCATTTGTAATTTGTTTCTTTTGGTCTTGTTTTGTTTAAAAAAAACTACCAAAGTTTTATTTTAATATGATATATTCATCAATTCATCATTAAACTACAAATGCTGTTTCTAGTTTTCTTAGTTGGCATTTTTGAACCACTGCAGGCCATGTGGTACAGTTCTGTGCTGTCAGGGTGGGAGCCCCTGGATTTTGAGCTGAAGATAATGAATTCAGGAATATTGTTTGGACTTTATTTGGTGGTGTTGGTGGTGGTGGGGTGGGTTTAAGGAGATTCTGTAGTCAAGACTTTGGAAGCCAAAGGGTGGAATAATTTGGGGGTGAGGTCAACTCCAATGCTTACAGCGCATCTCTTGATGGATGATAAAAACCGAAAGAACCGAGGATGCTGTAAATCAGGAACAAAAACAGAAGTTGCTGGAAAAGCTCAGCAGATCTGGCAGCATCTGTGAAGAAAACAAAACAGAGTTAACGTTTCGGGCCCTTCCTCAGAACCGAAGGGTCACTGGACCCGAAATGTTAACTCTTGATGGATGATGCCTGGCTTTTCAAAGAAACCAATTCAAAAATGGCCTTCACCACTGCAGAGCATTTTAGATGTTTTTGCACATAACTTACACATTTCTTTCAAAAGGCAGCCTGTCCACATGATGGCACACCTTGGAGCAGGTAAGACTTGAACCTATGCCTCCTAGCCCATAGGTAGGGATACTACCACTGCATCCTCTCCTCAGTATCTTAATCAAGAACAAAGAACAAAGAAAATTACAGCACAGGAACAGGCCCTTCGGCCCTCCAAGCCTGTGCCGATCCAGATCCTCTATCTAAACCTGTCGCCTATTTTCCAAAGATCTGTATCCCTCTGCACCCTGCCCATTCATGTATCTGTCTAGATACATCTTAAATGACACTATCGTTCCCGCCTCTACCACCTCCGCTGGCAACGTGTTCCGGGCACCCACCTTCCCTCTGCGTAAAGAACTTTCCACGCATATCTCCCTTAAACTTTTCCCCTCTCACCTTGCAATCGTGACCCCCTAGTAATTGAGTCCCCCACTCTGGGAAAAAGCTTCTTGCTATCCACCCTGTTTATACCTCATGATTTTGTAGGCCTCAATCAGGTCTCCCCTCAACCTCCGTCTTTCTAATGTAAATAATCCTAATCTACTCAACCTCTCTTCATAGCTAGCGCCCTCCATACCAGGCAACATCCTGGTGAACCTCCTCTGCACCCTCTCCAAAGCATCCACATCCTTTTGGTAATATGGTGACCAGAACTGTACGCAGTATTCCAAATGTGGTCGAACCAAAGTCCTATACAACTGTAACATGACCTGCCAACTCTTGTACTCAATACCCCGTCCGATGAATGAAAGCGTGCCGTATGCCTTCTTGACCACTCTATCGACCTGCGTTGCCACCTTCAGGGTACAGCGGACCTGAACACCCAGATCTCTCTGTGTATCAATTTTCCCCAGGGCTTTTCCATTTATCGTATAGTTTGCTCTTGAATTGGATCTTCCAAAATGCATCACCTCGCATTCGCCTGGATTGAACTCCATCTGCCATTTCTCTGCCCAACTCTCCAATCTATCTATATTCTGCTGCATTCTCCAACAGTCCCCTTCACTATCCGCTACTCCACCAAACCTGCAGGGCCAACACCAGGACCAATGTTATCACTACTTACTCATAACACAGATTAATATTCTAATAATGATGTGAAATTTTGTACTGGATATTTTCTACTCAACTTATTCAGGATATTTCTGAGCAGGTGGGACTTGAACCAGACCTTCTGGCCCAGAAGTAAGGGCACTACCACTGCACTGCAAGGGTCCTCTACATAGCATTTTATGTTACTTTTGTTTCCCAATGTAACCTATTTTCCTAATCAACCTGGTCAGAGATGTTAGAACTCACCACTAGAGCAGGTGGGACTTGAACCTAGGTCCCTTGGTCCAGGGGTAGAGACACTACCACTGTGCCACAAGAGGGCCCCAAATGCACAGCATTTTATGGCAGGGAAGGTGAGGTGAGATACTTAATTGTCCCTTAATTGGGCAGTTAAGACCCCCAATAAGCCCAAGAACAGCCAGTCAAGAGGGCACCTTACCTACCTCCAGATTATAGGGAACAGATCAGCAGCGGGTGGTTAGAAGATAGGCACAGATATATTTTACTTGGCCCCCCTCAGAAGGACAATGGTGGGGTCTGCAAATTCCAACCCATAGTTCAAAGGCAGGCCACAGTGTTCCCATGCAGTGGTGTATGTTCTGCTTCATTCAGCCACAATAAAGAGGAAAGCAAAGAGTGGGGTCTGGCAGGACACCAGCGTGTCATGAAGCACTGCCCAGTTCCTCCAATCGATGCCGCTTTTTCAGAATGTGACTGTGGTGAGCTGCTGCACACAGGGCTAATCCGGTCATATGCATAATTGTATTGAGAAGACTATATTGATGACAGAAGGCTCACATGGAGCAGGTGGACCATTTACTGTGCTGTTCGAGCACGGTTTTTCGATAAAACCTCTAAGTGTGAGGGCGAATATGTTAGGTAGCGTCGAAAGGTAGGGGTTTGGAAGAGGTAGAGTTGTTTGGATGGGTTTGAAGGTGAGGAAAGAGCTGTGATTTTCGACACGATCCCTTTGCCCACCGTCTATGCCTTCAATGACCCCCTGCCCAACCAGGCAGTCAGATCGTCCTGGTTTCCCATTTGGAACAGCTGTCTCACTTGCCTGGGTGAAGGTAATCCGGGAGATGCAGAGCTGAGTCCTGCAAGAGGCCACTGGTTGACCAATTAAGGGCCTTAATTGCTGGCGAGTTGAGAAAACTATTTACAAACCTTCTTACCTAAACGTGAATGAGTGAGATTGCAGGAAGGGAGTCAGAGTCCCTCCATGGCCAACCTCACCCCATTATTTCTCCTTCTTGCCACCTGCAGACAGGGTAAAAATATTATGCCCTTTATTATGTTTGATAAAGCTCCTTCAGCAGCACCTTGGGAATAATGGGGGGTGGGGGTAGCAGCACACTGTTGTTAGACTAGCAATCCAGAAACTTGCACTAATACTCTGGAGGTGGAATTACAAACCACAATTGATTAATAAGTCAGAAATAAAATGAAATGGATTGTTGTAATAAATCAGCAGGTTCAATAATGCCTATCAGAGAAGATCATAGAATCCCTACAGTGTGGAAATAGGCACTTCGGCCCAACAAGTCCACACTGACCCTCAGATATCCCACCTAGACCCATCCTCTTATAACCCACCTAATCTACGCATCCCTGAACACTATTGGCAATTTCCCATGGCCAATCCACCTAGCCTGCACATCTTTGGACTGTGGAAGGAAACTGGAGCACCCGGAGGAAACCCACATAGACGTGGGGAGAATGTGCAAACTCCATACAGTCGCGCAAGGGTGGAATTGAACCCAGGTTCCTGGTGCTGTGAGGCAGCACTGCTAACGACTGAGCCACCCAAAAGCCTACCATCCTTGCCTGGTCTGGCCTACATGTGACTCCAGACTCGGAGCACTTGACATTTAATTGCTGTCTGAAGTTGCCATCTCACGTGTCATTCGGAAGCAGCAAATCAAAACCACATTAACTGTAGTATTTAAGAAAGGGGCTGCCCTTCTCAAGTGCAAATAGTGTTGGCCAATGAATGCCAGCAATACTCACAACCCAAAAACAAATAAAGGTTTGCAATGCTAAAGGAGCTTCTGTTGTAGTAATTGCATCTATGCATGTACACACTCACATTTATACACACACGTGCTCTCGTTTACATATGCACTCGCATTTATACATACGCTAGTACATACACTCGTTGTTTACACACACACACACATCCACAAACAATCACACTTACACACACACACTGTCTTTTGCTTGAACACACACAAACTCATACACACTCGTGTGTGGTTACATGCATACTGACTGGCATTCCACTGGAGAGCAGACTGTTTACAAAAGGACAATGTGAGAAATCTGTAATAACTATGTCCTTTCAGATGCCTGGTGACAATCCGTCTCCTCCGAACCTGCTGCAATAATCAATCCTAAATAAGGCCCTGTGCTCCTAATTTGTCTAAACTCACAATTTGGAACGAAATGCAGTAGCAATGGTGTGTTACTGAGTGTTCTAATTCGCCTTACACAGGTCACCAGGTCCAATGTACAGTTACATTTAAAAGACATTTGGATAAGTACATAAATAGGAAAGGTTTGGAGGGATATGGGGCCAATGGAGGAGAGTGGTACTAGTCTAGTTTGGAACATGGTCAGCATGGATTAGTTGGACCAAAGTGTTTTTTCTATGCTGTATGACTCTTATTAAAAAAATGAAAGATTTTACCATTATCACTTCTCCACTATGGCTTTGCAGCCCTTTCTTCCTGCAAATCCAACCCCTGGAGATTTTATCTCTGCATCACTACAATTTTACAATTCATTTGCAGCCGCTTGTAGTACACTGATGTTTTAAAACAAAAATTCTCCAACAAATTCCCAGCTTTTTGCTTTGAAGCACAAGCTACAGAGTAGGAAGTGCTGATTGAAAGGGCAGTAGATACATGGGGAACACCACCACTTGCCAGTTCCCTATAAAACCACTTATTATCCTGACCTGGAAATATGTCACTGTTCCTTAAGAGTTGCTGAGTCAAAATCCTCGAACTCCCTCCCTAACAGCACTGTCAGTGTTTTTTAGTTATAGTTATACCACATGGAAACAGACCCTTCGGTCCAACCAGTCCATGCCAACCATAATCCCAAACTAAATTAATCCTAGCTTCCTGCACTTGGCCCACATCCCTCCGAACATTTCTTATTCATGTATTTATCCAAATGTCTCTTAAACATTGTAACTGTACCTGAATCCATCACTTCCTCTGGAAGTTCATTCTACACATGAACCATTCTTTATATTAAAAAAAATTGCCCCTCGTGTCCTTTATAAATCTTTCTCTTTCAGAGACAGCAATGGTTCAAGAAGTTAGCTCACGACCGTTTTGAGGGCAATTAGGGACAGGCAACAAATACTGGCCCAGCCACTGACATCCATATCCAGTAAATTAATTTTTAAAAGTATTGACAATTTACTATGATGGCGCACTTGACATTTAACTGTAAACTTCATAAATAAGAATGCAAAAAGACTGCTCTCCCTCTCCTATCCCCTCTGAAAATCAAAAGAGAAATAATGTTTTAGAGGTATTGAATTTATTAAATAGTTGAAGGTTTAATTCTGTACAAGTCTAACAAATGCAGCACTATTTAACTGAAGCCAGGATCCCGTCCACGATGGTAAAATGTTATTTTAATTTGGCGCAAGATAGGATTCCATGGTAAAAGAGGTACATGGTGGCACTATGACAACTCTGAAATGTTATTTTAGAAATATAAAATACTACACATCACATCAAGCCAAAACTAGTTCTAACATGATAACATGCCAAGAAAAACTGAAACATGCTACTTGTTGATCATGCTAAATAAATATTACAAACCTGACACTCGTCTTCCTACCAGGAACCATAGATCCTCCTATAAAATATGTTTCTGTATAAACAAGGTGGAGAAATCAAACAGTAAAAGGACTTACGGCTGTAAATGTTTTAATTTCAGTAGGTTGTAGAGATAATGTTGACCTCCCTTCTACAGTTCACATAACATCAACCAAAATACTCATTCTAAGAATTGTAGTCTCCTAGAAGTAATATCATCAGTTTAGTTCACTAATGACAATTTTAATCGGGCTAAATGTTTTCTGGATAAAAACCAAAAGAATTGTGGATGCAGTAAATCAGAAACAAAAACAGAGGAAGGGTCATTAACTCTTGATTTTTCTCCACAGTTGCTGCTAGACCTGCTTTGAGCTTTTCCAGCAATTTCTGTTTTTGTGCGTGTAAATATTTTCTGGTGTTGATTTAACCTGCACAACCTCACCAAAATCTTAGTTACTTTCGATAAAGTCAGCTCAAAATTTACTTTGGAAATATTTTCAAAAATTCTAATGTATCATTTGAAGGATTATTCGGAGAATTTGTGTCCTTGTGGTATTGTCACTGGATTTAGTAAGCCAGAGACTCAGGCATAAATTCAAATCACAAGGGGACAACTGGTAGAATTTAAATTTAATTAATGATTCCAGAAATTGATAGCTAGTCTCATTGATGGTCATTGTGAAATGATGATCAATTTTTCTGAAAATCCATCTGGCACTAATGGCCTTTAGGGAGGGAAATCTGCTGTCCTTACCTGGTCTGGCCTACATGTGACGCAGACTCACAATGAAGTGGTTGACGCTTAACTGACCTTATGAAATAATTTAGACAGAAGCAATCAGGGAAGGTCAATACGTCCTGGTCTTGCTGGTAATGCCCACATCTCATGACAGAATGAAAAAAAATTACTATCTTTCCCCAGGCTTGCTGGTTATATCCTCTCTGCTATTGGATTTCTTCCAAATTCACAACACCAGGACTTTCCTTTCCATTTCCAGAAGCTGAAGGTATAGAATTTAACAAATTGTTCCCTAAGATTCCTCAGCTTAGTCTCCAAGATTCTCCAACACAAACAGAACCTGTGACAGATGTTTAAGGGATACAGTACTCAAAATATAACACAACTAAAACAGAAGTTGCTGGAAAAGCTCAGCAGGTCTGGCAGCATCTGTGAAGGAAAAAAGAGTTAACGTTTTGGGTTCCGGTGACCCTTCCTCAGAACTGATGATACAAGTTCAAAGTTCCAAGGCTTCCATCACTTGCACAATAACTGGATTAATTTAAAAATTCCCGCTGCTTCCAGTTTGTCACTTGCCATCAGCTACTGTTTAAGTAGTCCCATTGTAGTTGCTGGAGGAGTTTAGAATTCCCAATCTTGACTAAGCTTCACATTTTTTAAATGGCATCGCATTAACTGAAGGATCTAACGATCAAGTCGCCAGCTGGCACATCTGACTGAAATTCAATTTGTGTTTCTCATTCAGATGTTCTCCACAATATCCTGCAGCGAGATGTAAAAAGCACAAAGTGCGTTCCTCTCAGGTAACATAAAGGCTCCTCTGGCGACTGGATGTGACAAACACTCCTCATTATTTTGTACAGCAAGTTTTCTGTTGGGGAGAATCTTCACACAGCTCAACAATCTTCTCCTTTTCCTTATCTTCGAGTTCCTTCAGAAGTCTGAACAAACAGATCAAATAAGTGTCTGTCACAATATGAGAGAAAAGCGTGGGCTGAAAGTTCAAAGAGATATAGTATTTTTAGAAAGTATAAACAAGGAATCTCATAATACTGCAGTCTTGCAATTGCTGCTTCAGAGAAATGAAGAAATGACTGGAAAGGAAGCAGAGATGATTAATGTTTTGAAATGCAGGAAAATACAGCACAAGAGTCAATGATTTTGTTTTGGTCAAAACTTTATCAAAGCTGGAAGCTGCTTGTTGGGGTATAGTAAAGGGAATGGGGAGAACAAACAGGTATTGGTGAGATAATTAAATAAACAAAATACTTGCTATAATTAGAGCATTTAAACTGAGTGACTGTCATGAACAATCGTCATTGAATAGAGAAAATTCTTAGCCTGTGTCTGTCTTGGCCCCGTCATAAGAAAGAGAGAGAGAGAAATTGGTTCTGGCTACACTTTCTCATTTCTCCTGGTCAGTGACATATAATTTAGAAACTGAAATAGATCCTTTGGCCCTTGAGCCTGCTCCACTATTCTATTATGAAAACAAAAATTGCTGGAAATCACAGCTGGTTAGGCAGCATCTATAGAGAGACAGCAAGCTAACATTTTAAGTCTAGATGACTCTTCATCAGAGCTGATATGGAGGGGGCAGCATTTATGCAATAGTGGGAGGGTGTGGTTGGAGTGCTGGGAGAGAAAGGATGTTGATAGTTCAAAATAGTTTGGATGAAGTGATCGGAACATCCATTCTGATCACTTCATCTGAACTATCAACATCCTTTCTCCCCCAGCCGCACACACCCTAGTCCCAACCCCCCAATTATTGCATAAATGCTGCACCCCACCCCCGCGCTGCACGTCAGCTCTGAGGAAGAGAAATCTAGATTTGAAATGTTAGCTTGCTTTCTCTCCATGGATGCCACTTCTTGGCCCACTGTGACTTCCAGCATTTTTGTTTTCACTTCAGATTCCAGCATCTGCAGTAATTTGCTCCTACACCATTCTATACGTTGGATTGGTGTTCCAAATTACACATTCCCCATCCACCCCAATAATCTATGATTCCACTCCCAAATTGAAAAATCCATCCATCTTCATTGTAAAATATTGAATGATCCCACTAACACTGCCTTACAGGGCAGAGAGTTCCAAAGCCGGACAAGCCTCAGGGGAAAAAAAACTTTTCATTTCTGTCACAAAAGGACAACCTCTAACTTTATAACTGTGTCCCCTCTTTCTGGATTCAATCACATCAGAAAACATCCTTTCCATGTCCATCTTGTCAAGACCATCAGGATCTTATAAATTTTAGTCATGAAGGGTGGCACAGTGGCTCAGTGGTTAGCACTGCTACCCCGCAGCACCAGGGACCCAGGTTCAATTCCACCCTCAGGTGACTATCTGTGTGGAGTTTGTACATTCTCTCTGCATCCGAGTGGGTTTCTTTCCAAAGATATGTAGCTTAGGTGGATTGGCCATGCTAAATTGCCCATAGTGTCCGGGGACATGTTGATTAGCCATGGGAAATGCAGGGACTGGATATGGGAGTGCATCTATGTGGGATGCTCTTGGTGGATTCGATGGGCCAAATGGCCTGCTTCCACACCATAGGGATTCTATGTTGGCCCAGTCTGAATGTACAAGGACAGCTTTTGTGTGATTTATTCATTGAAAGGATCAGTTTGTGTGAGACACAAGGAACAGTGATGGAGGAGGGATGATGGAGAAGTCTTTTAACTGGGAACACAATGTGAATGGCAGGCCATAAGTAGCCTATGCCAGAGCTCAGCAGCAGTAACACATGGTCTCCCTAGGGTGCACTGTCAGTGAGTACCACTCTAATAGCATCAATAGAGTGGAAAACTTCAGTCTCGGATACTGCCAACAACGCTGCTCTCTTCATTATCACACGCTAAATGTGCAAATTGTAATGTGAGCCAGAAGATAAGCTGATGCAACACCTTCATTTGAGGTTTGAATGAAGGATAATTAGAGGCCATTTAGTCAAACATGAGGTGCAAATAATCACCTACAGTCCATAATTCAAGCTAAAATTAGAGTACATTTAAAATGAGTAGTTTAATCAGGAACAGACATCGATGATCTCAACGAGCATGAGCTGTTACAGTAAATGAGGTTCAGTTAATGTGACTTCAGAGATCAGGTGAAGACAGATAGGAATGCAGGAACAGGAATAGCTCACTCAGCCCATCAAACCAGCTCTGTGATTTGATTAGACCATGGCTGTAACATCTAATATCACCTTCCCACTCCATCTCCCTATCCATTAGTTTCCAGAAATCTAGCTAAATATTGATATTTCTGCAAGGGTCAAACTGCTTCTCATTCCAATTGAGGGGTGTTGTCAATAGAACAGAAACACAGAAATGTGGAACACACAAGATAAGAGCCCATTCGAACCCTCAAACCTGATCTGCAATTTAATATGATCATGGCTGACCATTTAGCCCAATACCCTAATCCCACCTTCCCACACCCACTGCTCCCCGTCCCCCCAACCCCCCCAGACATCCTTTGATCCTTTAGCCACAAGAGCCATATCTAACTTCTTCTTGAAACCACAATGTTTTGGCCTCAACCACTTTCTGTGGTAATGAATTCCATAGGCTCACCTGTGAAGAAATTTATCCTCATCTCATTCCTAAAAAGTTTACCCCTTATCCTTAAACTATGACCCATGCATTCCATAGCCTGCAGCTAGACACCAAAAGGGCTCAGGGTTTACCCTGTGGGAGACACTGTCCTTGACAGCTTGTGTATAAAATCAAGTGCTGGTTGAAGGCTATTTAACATTTCAAGGGCTGCTGGTTCATGCTGCTTTATATTGGGCTGGAAGAAACATAAGAAGAGACTATTCAGCCCCTCGAATCTGCTGTGCCATTCTGTCAGATCACTGCTGAGCTGTTTCTCAACTATGCATGGTAACTAGCTCAATGTGAAATCTTCAAAATTAAGCACATTCCAGTACTCGTTTGCTCCACAGTGAAGCAACAATTTCAGCATATTTTCACATACATGTGTATATTTATAATATTACAGATTATCATATTTATCACACTGCAGATTCATGGGTGGCATTAGTCTCACAAAAGGCTTTGTTGTCAAATTGATGAAAATCATTTTTTTTTCATTTGCAGATAAATTTACTCATTGAAATAATTATGCTCCTGTCCACATGGGAACTATCATTTTAGCAGTATTAGCTTTCAAGCAGATAGCAGAGCTCTGCCTATGTGTAGCCAATGATCCCAAATGTACATTGCATGTGTGCGCGTGCACTGTGTGTCTTTTTGTGTGTGTGGGTCTGTGTCTGTGTTGTGTGTGCATGTGTTTGAGTCTCTTTGTGTGCGCACACGTGCATGTGTTTGTGCATGCACATGTCTGTGTAAACGTGTGTGTGCACATGTGCGTGTGTGTTTGCGTGTGTGAGACTGCGTGCGTGTTTGTGTGTGTGTGAGTGTGTGTGTGTGTGTGTTAGTTCCTCAGAATAAGGATGACACTTGCACTTGGTATGACCCTGTTTGAAGACCTTTAACCTGGGAGGTTTCGAATTGCAGTTAGCACATGTGTCTGGCAGTACAGACCATGGACAGAGTCAGATACTGGGCTGCTTCCCTTTTGAAGCCTTACAATTAAAGAGCCATTGCTGTCACTGGGAATATCCCATTCCCTATTTTGTCTGCTCCAGGTGGATATTTCTAACACCATATAACATTAGCATATATAAGCGAGATTGCATAATATTCAGGTGCAGCACCTGAATAAGTCCTTATTTTTTTCCCTTTAAAATGCATGGAGAGTTTGGGAGAGCCTGTGACAGGATGAGCCAGCCTTTTAAAATCATTTGCTTCTCGGTTCAGCCTTTCCAATCTTTAGCATTAGCAGTATAATTCACTAAAAATGTTAGTAACAAATCTAGACCATAATATTAAATCCAATTCCAAGCTAGAAATATTTATCTAGGTTCATGCAGCACTAACACTAATGTTACATGTCAAATTGTGACAGTATCTAAACTCCTTTAAGCTCTCTCCTCGTCATTCTGCATTTAGACTTTGTCAGGATCCAAAGTTTAGTTTTACAATTTGTATATTGTCATGGTGTTGTGGAAATCAAAAATTTATCTTTGTGATACAACCATTAAAATGTACAATCAATGACTCAGATGTTAATCACCTTCTGATTTAATGAATTTCCTATCTTACCTGGCCAAATGCATCATTGATTCAGTTACATTGACACCTGAGAAGGCACTGCACTCATAGAAAATCAAATTACATTCCTGTTAAAACAAGAGGTGAAAGTATAATGAGGCTGCTTCAGGCTCCTAGGTTAATAACTCAACATGTGCAGAATTCAATATTCATGAACACAAATGATCCAAAGATAGACCAGGATAATTAACAAGTGGATCAGATGAGACCAAGGGAAAAGCATTAGAAATAATGCAAGTAGAAATATTATGCATTTTTAAAACTATACGCTTTTCAAAGCATATGGATGTCATTGGCAAGGCCAACATTCACTGCCCATCCCTTAATGCCCTTGAACCAAGTGACAACTTAAAGGTCAGCGACCACGTTGTGATGTGTGTGGAGTCACTTGTTGGTCAGACCAGGTAAGAATGATAGATTTCCTCCCATATGTGACATTAGTGGACCAGATGAGCTTTTAAATAACAAATTGATGGTTGCCACCATTACTGATATGAGCTTTCAATTCCAGAATTTGAATTCATTTTCCAGCAAATCTGTGAGGAGCTGAACCTGTGAGCATCGGCCTGATGTACCAGTCTCATGATGTCACCATCATGCCACACTAGCCCCTATAAATTAGGAAATGGCAGAGGCACCTAAATAAATTCTTCCTACACTGACCCCAGCTCAAGTCAATGTGTTCCCATCCTGAAACCTGCAATATATACGAGAAGCAATGAAGCAGAAAGGAAGTCAAGAGAATTGGAAATGGCAGTACATTTAGGCCCATAGGGGAATGAGTGAAGAATTGGTGTCTGGTAAACATGCAGCTGAAGGTAAAATTTGTAGGGCAACATGCACTGCCCTGACACCATTGCAAGACCAATTAATTTCATATCCAGAGGGAGGTTCTTAGATTTTGAACGGAGCTCTGATGAAGCCTCAAGCCAGTCAGAGCTGTCAATGTGGTTTTCATATCAACTATTCTAACTTTATCGAGACAGTTCCCTGACTGCAAGGGGTTCGCAAAGAGATTTGAAGCCAGGGAGTTGAGTGATGTTACTGCTTGTTAGAAATTTTCTATTATTAATATATTAACGGTGAGGGGCAGCCACACTGGTAACTTAATTTGCGTCATCAACATGACAGGCACCCACTGCAAATTATCAAGGGCGACCAGGAGATCTGACACACTGGATCTTCCGCCTGAGCAGAGTCTCCTTTTGTTCCTACATTCTTACCACCCCTAGATTTATGGGCACACTCTGGGATCCACCCACCCCTCAAGTAACCATTTTGTATCTTTGACAAACTCTTTGGAAACCTCTAAAGATGCTTTGAAGCCTTAATAATTTAGATCTTGTCAGGCAAACCTTAGCCAATCGGCGACCCTCTTCACTGGCAACCTGGCGCTTCCTTTCCAGATCGGTTTTATTGGCCAGGAGCAGGATTAAAACCTCAGGGCCCGCTCCCTCCTGCAAACACAAAATGTTACATCGTGAACACAAATTAAGTTAGCTCCCAGCGTCCAGCCTGCGACATGGAATATTACTAAACAGATCCATACATCAGATATGGCAATCCCTGATCCAGCTCATTAGGATCCATCAGCCCATCGTGCCCTCCACACAAAATTCCTCACGGAGTTTCTAATGACCTTGAATCCCCTGCTTTTTTCCTTCCTACTGTGTAGATTTCATGTCCTCTCTAGTGTCTGTAATCTCTTTGACACTCAGCACCTCAGTAACAGACATATGAGGAACCTTCTTAATAACTACTGGTTGTTGTCACTAATTTTAAAGTAGCCCCTTGTACTTAAATTCTGAACAGGACAGCACAACTGTTCTAACTTCTCAACATCTTTCATAATATAAGCATTCCAGCCATATTCCCAGACACAATGCTCTTGACGAGAGAGAATAAATCCAAGAATGTCAGTCACCTTTTAAATATTATTCCCAAAAAACACCTGGAATTGAATGTACAGCTCTTTCCTCAATAACGTAATATCATAAGAGTCATACGTCGCAAAGGAGGCTCTTCAGCCCTTCGAGAATATCCTTTGCTGTATCCCAATAAATGAATGCCATTTCTTGAATCCAAATTTCTGAATATCTTTGCCTGTTTCTTAATGACTAAATAATTTGCCTTCTACCTCAAGCTCTGAATATTCTTCCCTGTACCTCAGTTAACTGACATCTTTCCCTGTGCCTCAATAAGTGAATATCCTTTTCCGAAACGTTGTAAAATGTGTCCCAATCTTGACAGGTTTGGTCTCTGTGTTCACTGTCTCTTGTGGTAGTGCCACATTCAGTCCTCAGACTGCAGTGAAATTCAGGCCATGTTAGAACATAAGAACTAGGAATATCCTGGAAGTAGGCAATTCAGACCCTCGAGCCTGATACGCCATTTAATATGATCATGGCTGATCTCATCTTGGCCTCAACTTCACTTTCCTGCTGCTCTTCATAACCTTTCAGCCTGTTACAAATTAAAACTCCATCTATCGCTTCCTTTAATTTACTCAATGTCCTAGCACCTGCCACACTCTGGGGTAATGAATTCCACGGATTTCTGACCCTGTCAGAGAAATGATTTCTCCTAATCTCTGTTTTAAATCTGCTACCCCTTATTCAAAAACTGTGACCTCCATTCTACGTTGTCCTCCAGGAAGAAACATCCTCTCTACATCTAATTTGTCAAACCCTTTTTGCATCTTATATACCGTAATTAGATCTCCTCTCATTCTTCTACTCAATCTCTCTTCATAAAACAATCCCCTCATCTCTGGACTCAATCTAGTGAACCTTCTCTGAACTGCCTCTAACGTAACTCCCTCCTCATGTTGGGACCAAAACTGTATACAATATTCCAGGTGTGGTCTTATCAATGCTTTGTACGGTTGCAACAACGCTTCCCTACTTTTATGTTCTATTCCTTTAGCAATAAACGGCAAAATTCCATTCGTCTTCCTTATTCCCTGCTGTAGATAATAGAATCCCTACTGTGTGGAAGCAGGCCATTCAGTCCATGGAGTCTACACTGACTCTCTGAAGAACATCCCACCCCCTCTATCCAATCCCTGTAACCCTGCATTTCCCCTGGCTAATCCATCTAGCCTGCACATCCCTAGACACTATGAGCTACTTAGCATGGCCAATCCACCTAACCTGCACATCTTTGGACTGTGGGAAGAAACCGGAACACCTGGTGGAAACCCACACAAACACAGGGAGAACGTGCAAACTCTACACAGACAGTGCTCAAGGGTAGAATTGAATTTGGGTCCCTGGCACTATGAGGCAGCAGGGCTAACCACTGATTCACCACGTCACCCCATGCTAGCTTTCTCTGTTTCATGCACAAGGACACCCCGATCCCTCTGTACTGGAGTACTCTGAAGTTTCTCTCCATTTAGATAATAAGTTGCCTTTCTATTGTCCCAATCTCGGACTTACGCACGTTAAACTTCATCTGCCAAATTTGTCACTAACTTTGCGAGCAACATTCAAACCCATTAATGCCAATAGCAGACATCCAAAACTGAAAACCTGTAATATTTGGTAAATATTACTGCCAGTAGTGGTCATCCTGGATCAACATAAAAGTGTGAAGAAGGGCCAATGCTTAAGAACTAATCTACTTTCCGAACAGAACATCACTGTCAAGCTGGGCTGTCAGCGCAGTTAACAAAGCAAGGCAGCTATTCTGCAATTTGAGTCAACTGTCTTGCCAAACCCACACACTATGCGAGAATACACTTAGCTGAGGAGCCTAGCACAGACACAAAACCCCTGAGAAGGGATAGCATCCTCTGCAATTCACACAAAGGTTCATCTTAAAGCTCAAGCAGAAGTCTGCCTACCTCAATAATGGTGGCTTTGTTGACTTGAAGAATTATAAAGAGACAAACGATAGTGAAGAAGGAAATTAAATTAGGTACGGAGCTACTTAAAGCAGAATCAGCCTGTTTCAAAGTAGAGAGAATCAAATGGTGGAACCTGCACACTCTCCAGCCACTGCCGTACAGCAATAAATGTTGTCGCAGCTGTGATGTCGTACATGAGAACAACTCCATCGGCCTTACGGAAAAACTGCTTTGTGACACTACGAAACCTGCAACATCAATCAAATCATCACAACGCGTTTAGCAATAAAAACACCCAAATGAAGCTTATTTTGAAACGTTGCCCACATAAGTGTCAAATTTGCTGTTGTTTTTCTAAAATTTACAAATGATCATTCAAACTTAAAAGTGAAGAATGTTCCTCAGTTTGCCAACAGCAAACCCTGGATGCAGTCACACACCATTCTCCAATGGTTTGCCTATTCTTCACTCACTCGAACCATCCTGGGTGGAGGGCTTATCCTATGAAGAAGGGTTGAACAGGCCAGGATTTTATTCTTTGGAGGTCAGAGGCATGAGAGGCAATCTCATCAAAACCTGAGGGCATTTGATAGGGTGACTACTGGCAAGTTGCATTCTCTTGTGGGGTAAACTAGAACTAGGGGACACTGTTTAAAAATAATCAGTCTCTCTTCAATGACAGAGCTGAGGAGAACTTTTTTCTCTCTCAGGGTTGTGAGGGCAAAGCAGGAATATGGTATTGAGATATTGGGTCAGCCATGTTGAATTGCATAGTTGACTTGAAGGGCCAAATGGCCTACTCTTGCTTCCAATTTCTAAAATAGAACAATGGGATTGTTTACATGCACCGAAGATCCCAGTCTAACACCTCATTGTGATCTCAGCACCTCCAACAATACTGAACCAAAGTGTCACCAGCCTTTGAAGTTTGTGCTCAAGCTCTGGAGTTGAATCCATGACCTTCTTAGTCAACAGGTCAACATGCTACCCACTCAGTCACAGCTGTCACCTTACGCCATACCAGAAACAGAATTAAATGGTGATCATTTTTAGCAATTCATTGCAGACAATCAGCAGGAAAAAAATCCTCACGTCTCCCTCATGATGAAGCCACAATAAGATTAACTCGCTGCCGAAACTCACCGTTCCTGCCCTGCTGTGTCCCAGAGCTGCAGAGCCAGCAGGCAATTATCTACGTTTACTGTTTTCACATGATAGTCTATACCTGGAAGCAAAAACAGTTTAAATACAGGAAGGTTTTTAAAATTCGAATTTGTTAAACTGAATTTTAGGAACAACTTTCTCCTGAGAAATGCTAGCCTGATCTAGGCCCTCATTTCATCTTCAGAATTGATTGAGACAGAAAAACATTTGCTTTTCTCCATGATCCAGATTCCCCACCAAAGAGAATTTCAAACCTCAGATTTGGCCTACGCTAGATTTCAGTCCTATCTGCTGTCTGTCCTACACCAGACTCCAGTTAACCCTGGAAGGTCTTATTAACACTGTAAGGTCCTCTTATTCATAGTCCCAATGTTGTATCCAGGTTAAATGTTATCTCAAAGACTTGCTGCTGTCACACTCACAGTCTGATAACTAATATTCAATATCACTCCTGGATATTGGTGTATGGGTGAAATGGAAAGACTAGAATTGCTTACTCTGCAATCACCAAAACTTTTAATTCCCACTCGAGGCCCTTGCCAACACTGGATCCAGAAGCACTCAGGACAGCAAGGACATCACAAGCCACATCTCCTCTATTTGTCTAGCATATGGGTAGATATATTACATCCTATTACTAGCACAACTCCTGCCCTGCCCACATTCTCCATTCCCATTCCAAAACACACGTCATTTAAGGTCAGAGTCAATTTCAGAATCCATTAGCTTGAATTCACATCACAGCGCTAACAGCAATATTGACTAATTCAAAGATAGGTACTGATGCATAGATTGATGCATCACAGAATGTGATTTCACCGAAGCAAACCTAGCTGAAAGGTTTACGGAACTGGTCATTACCTCTACATCTATCAAAACTTTCGGAGAGGCACTTCGGGACAAATCTAAAAGATTATATCATTGAAGTAAAGCTAGAAGGAGGACACAAATTCAAAGCAATTGGAACAGGACACCAAACTCTGCAGGCCTTGATTCTGCAACTACAAATGCAGCTGTGAACAAGAACAGTAAACTGTCCAAATCTTGTAAGAAATGTCGACTATTTCATCAATCAGAGCACTTCCCAGCATTTAGTGACACATTTGAACTGTGTTCTCCAAGGGGACTCTGGGCTGAAATGTGCAAGAAATCCAAGCACTCACAGAAACACAAGTGTAACACAATCCTCCGCAGCAGTGTGTGAAGAAGATTCAACAAAAGGAACAAGGCCGAAGACATTTCTATATTCCTATTCATGACACACAAGCATCAAGCACATGCAAGGTGTCCAAAGAGTAACTGCAACATCACAGTTTGCAAATTCCAGTCAGACAGTACAATGTGGTCAATTTGATACACCCACACAGACACTGGCAGAAAATCTAAAGTATTTACCTCCGTGCAACTTATGTATCGCAAGAGTCAACATGTGCTGCATGCTAAGCTGCTGCAAAAGCAAATACTATCCTTATGCATCATACAAGAGATGGAAATTGGTATGATGTGGTGCAGTCACACACAATAAGCTAACTGCTTACAATGGGTCATGCATGGCTGTTATCCATCTTACGTGTAATTGCAGCTATTTGGGACATACACCAGAAACAATTAATGTTGTTGATACAGTGGGACCTTCTAATCATTAGTCTTCCAACCTGTTCATCAGCCAGTCAGCTTTGTGTATGATATAATAATAATCTAAGTACAGCTACGTACATAAACCTGAGTGCATATGTAAGTCTGAGATATTATGTTAATATACTGAGTTATTGTTAATTAACTTCCAGATATCTGACTCAATTAGAACACTAACATGCTTTGTCGACTAACAGGTATAAAACCCTGAAGCACATCAGGTGATGGGCGTAGAGCTGCAAGCAGGCTGTGAGATTCTCCTGTTCACCTGATGACAGGTACAGCTGTAGGTTTTCCTGTAGAGGATCTCCCTCTTCCAATATAGTAGCCTGAATGCTGTACGTAACCTTTTGTTTTAAGTGATAATTTTTTTTAAAAAATAGCTGAGATAGTGCCTCAAGGTGGCTTTTTCCATGACGGGGACCTGAAAATTACCTTTGTCATTCATAAATAGACAATGAGCCATTCCATTGGTCACCAGTTGACCAACTCAGAGCAAGTCACTCCTGGGTGACTGTTCCTTACGCAGTGTGAGGTCAAGATCCCCTTTTGACTCTAACATTGTGATCTTAACCCAAAGTCCTGCTCACAATTGCAGCTCCAAGAACTTTCAAATTATCCTTAGACCATTAGTCGTAGGATAAAAAGTTCGTAATTGGCTGCGTTGAGTATGTTCTGCCATTCATTGAGATCACCCTGTACAGATGTTAGTTCCATGTAGTTAGCAGCGGTGAAATAAACCCACAAATGACAAAAGCTGACATCAGCTCACCTACCGACAGTAGCACATAATCCAGGGCTAAAACCCTCGCCACAAAATCGTCTTAAAACAGAACTTTTCCCCACACTGGAATTCCCAACAAAGATGATTTTAAATAAACGGTCAGGATTGGAGTGTGGTTCATTGACCTGTAAAGAATACCATTTGTTTTATTTCAAATGCTTTGAAAAATACATCAAATTTATCTTCTTAAACATTAGCTTTCAATAGGTTTATGGCATGCAACACTAGTCAGGGCACAGTTAGCGAATGGATATAAGTCCCCTTTATTGAAATGATCCCCAGGATGAGTGGCCAGGCCCACAGTAATGTGGGTGACTCTTAACTGCCATCTGAAATCGGATAACTAGTTCCAAATTCAGTCCAAGAGCAGTTAAAGAGGAGCAACGAATACACTGAGCTTGCCAGCAGTGTTCATATCCCATCAAAATAGAAGTTAAAATCTAGTTAAGTGTGGTGAATTGGTTAAGTTCATTGTTACTGCTATTTAAAAAGAGAACGTTAAATACAGGACATGGAGCAGGATCTAGATTAAAAATCAACAACACCCCATGGGCGAAGCACAGAGATGTAGAACTAAAACAATAAACAAAGACACAAATCTGCAAGGAACAGAAACTGAAAGATTAAAGCATAGAACATAGAACATAGAACATTACAGCGCAGTACAGGCCCTTCGGCCCTCGATGTTGCGCCGACCTGTGAAACCAATCTGAAGCCCATCTAACCTAAACTATTCCATTATCATCCATATGTTTATCCAATGACCATTTAAATGCCCTTAAAGTGGGCGAGTCTACTATTTTTGCAGGCAGGGTATTCCATGCCCTTACTACTCTCTGAGTAAAGAACCTACCTCTGACATCTGTCCTATATCTATCACCCCTCAATTTAAAGCTATGTCCCCTCGTGCTAGCCATCACCATCCGAGGAAAAAGGCTCCCACTGTCCACCCTATCTAATCCTCTGATCATCTTGTATGTCTCTATCAAGTCACCTCTTAACCTTCTTCTCTCTAATGAAAACAGCCTCAAAACCCTCAGCCTTTCCTCATAAGACCTTCCCTCCATACCAGGCAACATCCTGGTAAATCTCCTCTGCACCCTTTCCAATGCTTCCACATCCTTCCTATAATGCGGTGACCAGAACTGTACGCAATACTCCAAGTGCGGCCGCACCAGAGTTTTGTACAGCTGCAACATGACCTCATGGCTCCGAAACTCAGTCCCTTTACCAATAAAACCTAACATACTGTACGCCTTCTTAACAACGCTATCAACCTGGGTGGCAACTTTCAGTGATCTATGCACATGGACACCGAGATCTTTCTGCTCATCCACACTACCAAGAATCTTACCATTAGCCCAGTACTCTGTATTCCTGTTACTCCTTCCAAAGTGAATCACCTCACACTTTTCCGCATTAAACTCCATTTGCCACCTCTCAGCCCAGCTCTGCAGCTTATCTATGTCCCTCTGTAACCTACAACATCCTTCCGCACTATCCACAACTCCACCGACTTTGGTGTCATCCGCAAATTTACTAACCCATCCTTCTACGCCCTCATCCAGGTCATTTATAAAAATGACAAACAGCAGTGGCCCCAAAACAGATCCTTGAGGTACACCACTAGTAACTGAACTCCAGGATGAACATTTCCCATCAACCACCACCCTCTGTCTTCTTACAGCTAGCCAATTTCTGATCCAAACCGCTAAATCACCCTCAATCCCATGCCTCCGTATTTTCTGCAATAGCCTACCACGGGGAACCTTATCAAACTTTACTGAAATCCAAATACACCACATCAACCGCTTTACCCTCATCCACCTGTTTGGTCAACTTCTCAAAGAGCTCAATAAGGTTTGTGAGGCACGACCTACCCTTCACAAAACCGTGTTGACTATCCCTAATCAAATTATTCCTTTCTAGATGATTATAAATCCTCTCTCTTATAATCCTTTCCAACACTTTACCCACAACCGAAGTAAGGCTCACTGGTCTATAATTACCAGGGTTGTCTCTACTCCCCTTCTTGAACAAGGGGACAACATTTGCTATTCTCCAGTCTTCTGGCACTATTCCTGAAGACAATGACGACATAAAGATCAAAGCCAAAGGCTCTGCAATCTCCTCTCTAGCTTCCCAGAGAATCCTAGGATAAATCCCATCCGGCCCAGGGGACTTATCTATTTTCACACCTTCCAGAATTGCTGACACCTCCTCCTTATGAACCTCAATCCCGTCTAGTCTAATAGCCTGTATCTCAGTATTCTCCTCGACTACATTGTCTTTTTCCTGCGTGAATACGGACGAAAAATATTCATTTAGCACCTCTCCTATCTCTTCGGACTCCACGCACAACTTCCCACTACTGTCCTTGACCGGCTCCAATCTTACTCTAGTCATTCTTTTATTCCTGACATACCTATAGAAAGCTTTAGGGTTTTCCTTGATCCTACCTGCTAAAGACTTCTCATGTCCCCTCCTGGCTCTTCTTAGCTCTCTCTTTAGGTCCTTCCTGGCTAACTTGTAACTCTCAAGCGCCCTCACTGAGCCTTCACGCCTCATCTCTACATAAGCCTCCTTCTTCCTCTTGACAAGAAATTCAACTTCTTTAGTAAACCACGGTTCCCTCGCTCGACCACTTCCTCCCTGCCTGACAGGTACATACTTCTCAAGGACACGCAGTAGCTGTTCCTTGAACAAGCTCCACATTTCAATTGTGCCCAGCCCCTGCAGTTTCCTTCTCCATCCTATGCATCCTAAATCTTGCCTCATCGCCTCATAGTTGCCTTTCCCCCAGCTATAACTCTTGCCCTGCTTTATATACCGATCCCTTTCCATCGCTAAAGTAAACGTAACCGAATTGTGGTCACTATCACAAAGTGCTCTCCTACCTCCAAATCTGACACCTGGCCTGGTTCATTACCCAGTACCAAATCCAATGTGGCCTTGCCTCTTGTTGGCCTATCTACATACTGTGTCAGGAAACCCTCCTGCACACATTGGACAAAAACTAACCCATCTGAAGTACTCGAAACTATAGCGTTTCCAGTCAATATTTGGAAAGTTAAAGTCCCCCATAACAACTACCCTGTTACTTTCGCTCCTATCCAGAATCATCTTTGCAATCTTTTCCTCTACATCTCTGGAACTTTTCGGAGGCCTATAGAAAACTCCCAACAGGGTGACCTCTCCTTTCCTGGTTCTAACCTCAGCCCATACTACCTCAGTAGACGAGTTGTCATCAAACGTCCTTTCTGCCACTGTAATACTGCCCTTGACTAACAATGCCACACCTCCCCCTCTTTTACCACCTTCCCTGATCTTACTGAAACATCTAAACCCCGGAACCTGCAACAACCATTCCTGTCCCTGCTCTATCCATGTCTCCGAAATGGCCACAACATCGAAGTCCCAGGTACCAACCCATGCTGCAAGTTCACCCACCTTATTCCGGATGCTCCTGGCATTGAAGTAGACACACTTCAAACCACCTTCCTGCCTGCTGGTACACTCCTGCAACCTTGAAACCTTATTTATGACCTCACTACTCTCAACCTCCTGTACACTGGAGCTACAATTCAGGTTCCCACCCCCCTGTTGAATTAGTTTAAACCCTCCCGAAGAGCATTAGCAAATTTCCCCCCCAGGATATTGGTACCCCTCTGGTTCAGGTGTAGACCATCCCGTTTGTAGAGGTCCCACCTACCCCAGAATGAGCCCCAATTATCCAGGTATCTGAATCCCTCCCTCCTGCACCATCCCTGTAGCCACGTGTTCAACTGCTCTCTCTCCCTATTCCTCGCCTCGCTAGCACGTGGCACGGGTAACAAACCAGAGATAACAACTCTGTTTGTTCTAGCTCTAAGCTTCCACCCTAGCTCCTTGAATTTCTGCCTTACGTCCCCATCCCTTTTCCTACCTATGTCGTTGGTGCCTATGTGGACTACGACTTGGGGCTGCTCCCCCTCCACTTTAAGGATCCCAAAAGCACGATCCGAGACATCACGGACCCTGGCACCTGGGAGGCAACACACCAACCACGAGTCTCTCTCGTTCCCACAGAATCTCCTATCTGTCCCCCTAACTATGGAGTCCCCAATGACTAATGCTCTCCTCCTCTCCCCCCTTCCCTTCTGAGCAACAGGGACAGACTCTGTGCCAGAGACCTGTACCCCATGGCTTACCCCTGGTAAGTCATCCCCCCCAACAGTATCCAAAACGGTATACTTGTTTTTGAGGGGAATGGCCACAGGGGATCCCTGCACTGTCTGCCTGTTCCCTTTCCGTCCCCTGACTGTAACCCATCTACTTTTTTCCTAAAGCAGGTCTTCTCAAAGTAGAAGAAGTCAGACCCTGTGTGGGATTATGAGCTGATTCTTTGGATTCAGGGTTCCAAGGCAGCAATACTCACTGTGGAACTTTGACTCAGTTATCATAGCTGTGTTCCCACTTTAACAGACAGGACCCCACCATCACAAGCCCCCATCTTGCTGTTGGTGGTCTACATTCCCCATACCACCACCACTGACAGCTCTCAATTTGGGATCCTAAGCACGTTCAAGTGTCAAAATGTTGGGAATAGGTTTGGGGACACACAGAAATAAAGGTGGCAGTACTGAGAAAATCTGGAGGTGTTGAATTGTGAAGATTCTGCAACAGGGTCATAAATTCAAACAGGGGTTAGAAAAAACATGAGAAAGCGAGAAAAATATCAATAAAGTCAATAAAGCAGTTTAACTACAAATGTGGAATGTGTGTTCAGCTGAAGTGGACAAATTATTGTAGTGTGCAGGTCACTTGTGTGCACGTATGTTTATATATACATGTAAGCACAACATTGACTGTTCTGTTTAGGACCATCCTGGAGAGGAAAACCAAAAATAATGCCCATTTTCCCAATGCGAAAGGACGGAACTTCCTGTCAACATCATGAGAATGTGCCCTTGCGGTGACATGATGGCTCAGTGGTTAGCACTGCTGCCTCACAGCGCCAGGGATCTGAGTTTGATTCCACCCTTGCGTGACCAGCTGTGTGGAGTTTGCACATTCTCCTGCTGTCTGTGGATTTCCTCCGGGTGCTCCGGTTTCCTCCCACAGTCCAAAAATGTGCAGGTTAGTGGATTGGCCATGCTAAATTGCCCCTAGTGTTCAGGTATGTGTAGATTAGGTGAGGTATGAGGGATGGGTCTGGGTGGGATGGTCTGAGGGGCAGTGTGGACTTGTTGGGCTGAAGGGCCTGTTTCTATGCTGTAGGGATTCTATGAACCTGAACATGGAAATGAGCACAGATCAGTGTCCAGAGAAAATGAGGAAGGTTCCTGCTTCAAATGCAGAAATTCGGCTTCATGTCATTGGTGTAGATCAGGAACATTTAACATTTGGCCTGCAGTCAGGGAACCTTCTCAATTTTTATTGTGACTTACTTCACAACATAAAAAAATGCACAAGGAGGAACTAAGTATACAGCCATCCTCAATGAGGAGCTACAATACATACACATATAAAATGCAATAAAACATCAGAACAAAGGTCAATTCCCACTGGGCCTGACTGCAGTGGTAATTCAGAGCATCACTGAACAAACACAATTAGAGGAAACTCAACATGGCTTTGAGAATCATATCAAAATCCGATCTCCTACATTTCACATCATCCTCTGAGATATCCACACATCACCAACTCTGACATCTCAAGTGTCCTGAATTTAATCACTCCAACATTGGACGCCTGTGTGTTTAGCTGCCTGGGTTCTGAGCTCTGCAATTCCATCCATAATCCTCTCCACGTCTCTATCGTCCTCAAAACATCGCCAATGAAACATTTGGTCTCTGCATTAATATCCCTTTGCCTGGGTCAGGGTCAAATATTCCTTCAGGGAAGCACATTTTCATGTTTTACAACGTTAAAGGTGTCATGTAAATGCAACAGAGTTTGCCATGCTAAGTTGCTACATATTTGAAAAAGCAAAGTCTGACCGGAAGTGGAAAATGTTCAGGAGGATGTGCTGCAGTAAATGGCCCTTTCAGAACCACACATGTGGAACTGGACAACTGCAGTGGCCCTACAGTGCAAATTATATTCTGGCTTTGAACAAAGGTTTAAAAGTCTTGAAATGATGTTTTCTAGTCTAACGGTGATTGTTGTGTTCGATCAGTGGGGACACACTGGACATTTGTTGCAATAGGGTGGCACGGTGGCTCAGTGGTTAGCACTGCTGCCTCACAGTACCAGGGACCCAGGTTTGATTCCACCCTCGGGCAACTGTCTGTGTGGAGTTTGCACATTCTCCCTGAGTCTGCGTGGATTTCCTCTGGGTGCTCCAGTTTCCTAGCACAGTCCAAAGATGTGCAGGCTAGGTGGATTGGCCATGCTAAATTGCCTGTAGTGTTCAGGGATGTGTAGCTTAGGTGGGTTATAGGGGTGTGGGTCTGGGTGGGATGCTCCAAGGGTCAGTGTGGACTTGTTGGGCCAAAGGGCTTGTTTCCACACTGTAGGGATTCTATGATGATGATTTCCCACTCACCAATATCAAAGCTTCTTCACCAGCAGGCTGTGTTCTTGGAAGTGAAAAAACTTTTCCATTCTCTTGACTATTCCTTTCCAGCGCCAGCTGTTCCTCCTGCTCTTTCTCCATCTCCTCTTCCACCTTAGTCAAGTTGTTTAAGTGCGTTGTAGAATGCATTTCGAGGAACTGGGGCAATGGGTCCTCTTCAATAGAAATAATTCTCTGCAAGTACAGTCTCTCACTGGCCTTGGCTTTGGATTCCTTGTCGGTTTCTTTCTGGATGAGGCTGTGTGCATTCCCATCTCCCAAATTCTTTGAGAGTAGCATGGAATTACTGAGTTCCTCCTCGTCATCACCTTTCCTAAAAAAAAGGTTAAGGATAAGACAATGTGGCAAACAGAAACGGAGTTCTCTTCTGTTCTCAATTAGTAAGAGGCTCAGTTTTGCCTCAATTCTCTGACCTATGTCTTATAGAGTCATAGAGCTGTATAGCATGGAAACAGACCGTTCGGTCCAACTCGTCCATGCCAACTAGACATCCCAATCTGACCCAGTCCCATATGCCAGCATTTGGTTCATATCCATCTAAACCCTTCCTATTTATGTACCCATCCAGATGCCTTTTAAATGTTATAATTGTACCAGCCTCCACCACTTCCTCTGGCAGTTCGCTCCATAAAAGCACCACCTTCTGCGTGAAAAAGTTGCCCCTGAAGTCCTTTTTGAATCTTTCCCCTCTCACCTTAAAGCTATGCCCTCCAGTTTCGGACTCCACCACCCTAGGAAAAAAACCTTGGCTATTCACCCTATCCCCGCCCCAGGGAGAAAGCCTCAGCCTATTCAGCCTGTTCCCATAACTCAAACCCTCCAGTCCCAGCAACATCCTTGCAAATATTATCTGCACCCTCTCAAGTTTAACATCGTCCTTCCTATAGAAGGGCGACCAGAATTGTACGCAAAATTCCGTAAGAGGCCTCACCAATTGTACAGCCACAACATGATGCCCTAACTCCAGTACTCAATATGCTGACCGATGAAGGCACACATACCAAATACCTTCTTCCCAGATGCTGCCAGACCTGCTGAGCTTTTCCAGCAACTTCTTTTTTCGTACTTTCTTCACCACCCTGTCAACCTGCGACTCCCCCCAAATTCAAACAACTATGCATCTCCACCTGTACGTCTCTTCGTTCGGCAACACACTCTAGGGCCCTACCATTAATTGTGTAAGTCCTGCCTTGGTTTGCTTTACTAAAATGCAACACCTCACATTTATCTAAATTAAACTAAATTATGCTCAATGACTTATGATTAACGGGTGCATTCTTCAGGGCAACATCTCGACCAATCAAAGTCTATTTGCCAACCAATCAATACTCTCTTCTCAAACATTATAAATTTTCTCTCCTTGAATTGGTATTCTTGCAAATTGTCCTGATGAGTGGAAGATGAAAAGCTTTGACAAAATGTGCCTTTTTTCAGCAAAACTTAAAAAGCTGTTTATAAAGCTCGAGCATCAGTTGACAATTGAAGCACTGTGTCACGAAACACAAGGCCCAACACCAGTGAGCACCATCCTACCTCATATCCATGAGGGACAGCAAGCCCCCTTGTCTATAAATGTTCAAACCTGTTTCAGGGATGCTGACAATTTTAGTTCAAATGTTTCTCAAGTGATTGGTATCTGGAGTCTGAAACAAGTACAGCAGCTTCCTATCCTCAGGCAATGTTCCCTTAAAGCTGTGTGTGTTGGGAATGAGCTGTGCAGGAAACAAATGAGCCAGACACAATGAGTGGTCTCTAAGATGTGGCATGCAATCTTAAAGGGACCTCACAATGCAACAAATGGGCTGCGCATTACAAAGGACAATCAGAATGCCCTAACAAATGTTTCCTTTTCAACTTCCAGCATCTTTAAACATGCAGCATGTAACTTTCAACTTAGACCATAAGAACAGAAACAGGCCATTCAGCCCATCCAATCTATTCTGCCTTTCAATGAGATAATGATTGATCTGATAATCCTCAACTCCACTTTCCAGCCTTTTCCTCAATAACTCTTGATTTCCTTAATGATTTAAAAATTTGTCTATCTTGGCCTTGAATGTACTCAATGACCCAGCCTTTACAGCCCTCTGTGATAAAGAATTCTACAGATTCACTACCCTTAGACAGAAACATAATCATCCCTATCTCTGTCTTAAATAAGTGGCCTCTCATTCTGAGATTACGCTCTTTATTCCTAGACTCTCCCATAAGAGGAAACAACCTGTCACGCCCCCTAAGAACCTTGTATGTTTCAACAAGATCTCCTCTGATTCTTTTAAACACCAATGAGTACAGAACCAACCTATTCAATCTCCCTTAATAAGAAAATATCCACTCCCATACTGGATTTGACCTCTGGAGCAGTGTGTCCAGTTCTGGGGTCATCAGATGTGAAGGAAGGACGTGAAGACATTGGAGAGAGGGCTGTAAAGGTTCGTGAGAATTGTTCAGAGATGGGGAGTTTCAGTCATGTCGACAGGTTGGAGAAGTTGGAACAGCTGTCCCTGGACAAGAGGAAGCTGAGTGGAGATTTGATCAAAGTATTCAAAATCTTGGGGAGTCTGGACACAGTGAATAGGGAAAAAGCATCGAAAATGAGAGGGCGCAAATTGGACATGGTTGGCAAAAGAAGCTAAAGTGATTGGAGGGAAATCATTTTCACACAGTGAGTGGCTCCAGTTTGGAATGCAGTGCCTGAAAGAGTGGTTAACTGAGGCATTCCAAAAGGGGCTTCGACTGTTATGTGAAAAGCAGGGTGCAGGGTCATGGGGAAAATTGCAGGAGAATGGTACAAGGTAACATACTCACTGGGAAAGCTAGCACAGACATAACAGGCTGAATGGATCCTTCCTGCACTGTGACAGTTCTGTGATTCATGGAATCCCTACAGTGCGGAAACAGGCCATTCAACCCAACAAGTCCACACTGCCCCTCTAGACAGCATCCCACCCAGAACATTCCCCATGTCTAACCCACCTAACCTAAACATCCCCAGGCACTATGGGAAATTTAGCATGGCCAATTCACCTAGCCTGCACATCTTTGCACTGTGGGAGGAAACCAGAGCACCCGGAGGAAACACACGCAGACACAGGGAGAATGTGCAAACTCCACACAGACAGTCGCCCAAGGCCGGAATCGAACCCTGGCGCTGTGAGGCAGCAGTGCTAACCACCATGCCATCCCTGTGTAGTTATTTAATGTATTGTCGTGAGAAGAGCTTCATGTGGTAAGTTGGAGTGTTAAACAGGACAGTGGGCTGACTGAATATCATGGTTACCTGTTGCACAACAGCCTGGTATCCACAGGGGGATCAGTGCTGGCAGATATCCTTTGATTCCAGAAGCTGGAAGAGCTACGAATGGAGGGTTTCTGTGAAACGATAAAGATGTGAATCATTTCAAGGCTCCTTCATCACGTGATCCCCCAAAAAACCTTTTTAAAGTCACATAACTTTGTTTACAAGCTTATAACCTTGCAGCAATTTATTTGAGAAGACAATCACCATGTCTATACGTTAAGGACATTGAAGTGAAAAAGACAATGGGCTGACTCTTATTCTTTTTTGGCTAAGTATCAGTTGCGTTGAGTTGTTGGAGGATTTTTTGCAGTGAGGGCAAGTGAGTTTTCTCATTGTATCTTACCAAACCTTTCTCATTAACTTCCTATCTGCCCCTATGCCATACCTATCGTCTGATTTTACCCCTGTTGAATCATATGATCTTCCCTGATCAACCTGCCACTACTGAGATATGCCAGAAATGATTGGCAACCCTGGCACTGGTAGCATCTTTAAAATGCCATTGTGCACCCAGGTAAACACTGTCAGTCCAGAGCTGTCCTGCATGGATCCTGACTTTTGCCACAGAGAGGGCACACTGGTGCCCCACTTTATGGGCAGGAACCTGAGGTTCAGCTGAACAGGCTGGTACACCAGGAGGGATTTCTCATTTCCCCCCTCCAACTGGGGCCAGCAGTAGAGGCCAAAACATCAAACCATGCCAGCCCACTCTGAGGTTACGACCTGGGCAATTGCAGCCTGGAAGAACAGCCAGCACTGAAGGAAGAAAGTCAGTGATAGTCTCCATCCACCTGCATAAAGGCCACCATCTTCTCTCTACTCCCTCATACTCACTCTGTCTCTGCTATCCTACTCATCTCCCACCAAAGCTCATGCTCTATCGCTCTCACTATTGCCCACACTTACTATCATGCACGCCAAACCCCCGATACCACTAACCTTACATGCCCTCACTACTGGCTACTCTCACCTCCCCACCTGCACCAGAACTAATAGCCGTGCCACTCGCTTTCATCTCCTTTAACACCTGCCTCTCTCCCATTCCAGGAGAAAAGCAGCTCCTAATAAGACAGAAAGAGTCAAGGTGGGTAGTGTTCCCCCTGACATTCAGCTCTTCATATCTTAAGTTGAGAGCATCCTAACTATATTGCCCCGAGCAGATGACTGATAGTGTCTAAGGCCTTGGACTGGGTTCAGAGGCTGCTCTTGACTTACTCTAACCAAAAGGATGCTTTTCAGCATGGAGGGCTGTGACTAGCGATGTTCTACAGGGATCAGTGCTGAGACCTCTGCTGTTCGTGATCTACATAAATGATTTGGAGGAAAACGCAGCTGGTCTAATTAGTAACTTGCAGACCATACAAAGATTAGAGAAGTTGCGGATAGTGAGGAAGATTGTCCGAGTATACAGTAGAATACAGATCAGCTGGAGGCATGGGCAGAAAAATGGCAGATGGAGTTTAATCTGGACAATTTAAGGTGATGCATTTTGGAAGGTCAAGTTCAGGTGGAAATTATACAGTGAATGGCAGAATCCTTACGAGTACTGATATGCAGAGGGATCTGGGTGTGCAGGTCCACAGATCACTGAAGGTGGCAGCGCAGGTAGATAAGGTAGTAAAAAATGGCCTATGGCATGCTTGCCTTCATTGGAAGGGGCATTGAGTATAAGGATAGACAAGTTATGCTGCAGCTTTATAGAACTTTAGTTAGGCCACATTTGGAATATTGCATACAGTTCTGTTCACCACACTACCAGAAGAATGTGGATGCTTTGAAGTGGGTACAGAAAAGGTTTACCAGGATGGTGTCTGGTATGGGGAATTTTAACTATGAAGAAAGGTTGGACAGACTGGGTTTATTTTCACTGGAATGCAGGAGGTTGAGGGGTGATCTAGTAGAAGTTTATAAGATTCTGAATGGCATGGATAGAGTGGAAAGTATGAGGCTTTTTCCCTATTGTGGAGGGGTCAATTACTGGGGGACACAGGTCCAAGGTGCAGGGAGGGAAATTTAAAAGAGATGAGTGAGGCAAGTTTTTCACACAAAGGGTGGTGAGTGCCTGGAACACGTTGCCAGAGGAGGTGGTGGAAGGAGACACGATAGCAGCATTCGAGATGCACCTGGACAAATACATGAATAGGAAAGGAATAGAGGGATATGGATCCTGTAAGTGAAGACAGTTTTAGTATGGAAGGGCAAAATATGTCAGTATACCTTTCGGGTAACATTGGTGTCCAGTGTCTAACATGGAGGATCTATCGAGCAAGGAGCAAGTTAAAGCCTCCAGGAACCTGCTCTCACTTGCATGTTGAGAATTCTTTGTGTCTAGCTTGCTCAATGCAATTGGTAAGGTCTGAAGCTAAGTATTAATGAGGTGGCTTGTGCTGTCAATGAGGCATTTAACAAGCTGCAATCCCCCTTAATGGACAACGCACCTTGCCAGTCAGCAGATGCGTAGAAAAAGCAGTAACCTTGAGATAGGTCTGTCTGAGTTTCTCACCTGTTTCTGCCACAAATCCTGCTATAGCCCAGATCACTCAGGTCCCTATTACATTTCACCCAATGACTCACCTGAATACCCATCAGGGACATATCCCGTTCAGTTTGAAGATGTTTATTCATTTCCCTGCAGAATAGTTACATGTAGATGCAAGAAACGAAATGTTACTCAATGCTACACAGACAAATGCAATAAACAATCTTAAACTTTAATTTTATTTATGGGAATAAATACACTGTGATTCCCAATCATTTGTGGCAAACCTGACTAATTTATGGGATAAATGACATCTTGTACATTTCTTCACTCTGTTCATCACCCAAATGACACAAATGGATTGATATTTCACACCACTCTAGCAAACACTTAGATGCTTCAACTGCTTCTAGCAGGTACTTTGTGGACATTTCTGAGTTCCACAGATTAACAACTGTCACAGCTTCTTTTTGTATTAAAGACAAAGAACAAAGAAAATTACAGTACAGGAACAGGCCCTTTGGCCCTCCAAGCCTGCACTGAAAGGCATAGGTAGTTCTAACAAGGTCTTTTGAGGTTTTCTCCACCTTTGACACATCACAATAGATGTTGATCAAGAATGAGTCAAAATGGAAAATTGGCGCCACTGACATTAACATTAACAATAATATGACGAAATTATGTGCTAATGAAGTGCCTATCTGTAATAATTGAGGTTTCTCCAAATTTGGAACCAGAAGAGCTAGAGAGTGAGAAATTTAAGGGACCTCAGATTGCAATGCTACATCTAACATGTCACTACATGGAAATGCAGGTCTGGCAGCATCTGTTCAGAGTCACTGGATTCAAAACATTAACCCTGCTTTCTCTCCACAGATGATGCCAGACCTCCTGAGTTTCTGCAGCAACTTCATTTTTTGTTTCAGATCTTCAGCACCCATAGTTCTTTTTTATTTTATGGATATTACATTTCACAGCTGGAGTTGCTTGCAAAACAAATTTTAAAATGAATGGCATTGTCAATGGAAAATACATATCGACCAGAATCCATTTGCCAACCAATCAACACTCTCCTCTCCAATACTATAAAACAATTGTTCTCCCTTCACTTTGGTATTCTTGCAAATCATCCTGATAAGTGCAAGACAAAAGCTTTGACAAAATGTGCCTTTTATTAGCAATAACTTATACTACTAAACAACTATTATAGTACAGTACTAATTAAAAAGACATAAGATCCGTTCTTTGCACAGCACTCAAATCTCTTGTAGCCAAATTATAAATAGTTAGGCAGCTCGCCTTAAGTTGTTGATTTTTACCCTGTGGTCTCAAGTCTTCATAAACTATAATTTATGATCAAGCTTTAATATTGGAGTTGGTATCAATTTCTTACCTGAGGAGATCTAACTGTTTACAAAGGCTTAACTTCTCTCTTTCCAGACCCTCAGTCACTCGATATAGCTCCCTGAGGAAAATACATCATTCAGTGATATTAATATCAAGGTTCAAATACTAAATTACATCTCAAGTAGGAGTTTCTCCTCGTCTTCAATTTAAAATTGCAGCCTTCTGTTCTTTATTCTCAATCACAAAGCACCAGAACCAGATAAGGATACTGAGCGAAGTATTGCTGAAAATTGTAGGGCAGAATCTTTCAATCCTCCTGACAACAGATCATAACTCCAAATTACCTATGGACACATTTTAAACAAGACGTGTTATTTTACAGAAGACCTTCAAAATATGAATGGATGATAATGTAAATCCTGAAAATGGAATTGACTGACTGCTGAAGGCCACAGTGTGAGCCCATGGAATGTCACACTTGTACAATGTCAAGGAAACTTCAAATAGAGAGACTTAAAACAAATTGATGTAATGCGAAAACTGATTACCTCTATTTTTCTGTGGGTTATATCTCCGACTGTAGACATGAGTGAAAGCACAAGTTTATGTTTTACTCTAACATACAAACACAAAGTGCTGGAGCAACTCAGCAAATCTGGCAGCATCTGTGGAGAGTGAAACAGAGTTACCATTTTGAGGCCAGTATGGTCCTTCTCACTTTTATTTCAGATCTCCATATCCATAATACTTTGTTTTTATTTGTATTTTACCCTCTCAGGTTTCTCAAGAATACACAACAATTAAAAAATCCCTGGCCTTCATCTCGATATGTTGTTGGGCTGATGTACTAGTGTGGACTGAAGTGTTGTGAAGTTCACAGCTTTAGGACAACGATTACATAAACCTGTACTGCAGGTAAAGAAAGACTGTCTCTTGTTCTGACTACTGCAAGTCAAGCAAAGCAGCAAATTTGTCATCAAAAGGCAAACAAGGCAAGTTTGTTAGCTAACTTTCAGAATCTCAAAATCAACTGCTTCACTACCAATGTCAATATCTCCAGTATCAAACAAATGAACAGGAGTTAGCTTCCACCACCTACTCTTCGAGGAACCTAGAGACTGATCCATATTATCATTTAACTAATATCTTTTCAAGCAATTCACATTTCAAATTTGTGTGTAGCACCTTATTATTGTGTCAGTGAGGTTGGCTGAGTAATAGGAAACAGTGTGGAGGTTGATTTTCTGATTAAAGGAGGGGTGTGGTAAAGTTTCACTCAGAGTCAGTACTAGGATCACTGCTTTACTTGACATATATTAACAATTCAGGCTTTGGTGGATAGATCACGATTTCAAAACCTACAGATGACACAAAGTTGGAGGTACTTTGAGCAGTGAGGAGGACAGTGAAAGGATCCAAGAAGTCAGAGACAGACTGATGAGAAGGTTGGACAAGTGGTAGATGAAGTTTAATGCAGTGATGTGCAAGAAGTGATACATTTTGGCTGGAAGGATGAGGAGAGACAATACAAAATGAAGGATACAATTCTAAAAGAGGTGTCGAAGCTGAGAGACCTCCTCCAGACTTCCACCGTTTTCTGAAGAGAGATAATTAAACTGGAAGTTTATTCATATGGTTCAGGTTAACACCAGGAACATTAAGGCTCTGTAGAAACCTTTACTTTCGGCCTGCCAGCACTGCTGAGTCTATGAAGGGGCAATTTGAAAATTAACTGGGGAATCACCACCTAGACACTCAGATCAATTATGTGAAAGGAAAGCAAAAGGAAAGAATTATGGATAGATTTACTGCACGACTATCACATTCTCTCTCTCTTCTTTGTGCATATGCAATCCACTTGATCAAAATACTGTTGGGAGCCTTTAAACAATATCATTGGTATGTTATGTGTATTATTAGTTAAGAATGAACAGGCAGAGGGTCTTGACTGATTAAGCACCTTGAGCACAAATAGAAAAGGACTGTTTGTTTGTAGGTAGCAGGTTGAGATATGTAATAATGCATTCTATAATTAAACTAACTAGTGAGGAAAGGATTTATGCCTGGTGCATTGTTTGCTCATTTGGGATCCTTTTAATAAACAATAAGTAAAAGATATGCTAAAAACAATTTCTCACAAAGCTCTGTCCTAGATCTTACACTTCAGTATATCCTCACTTTGCTTCATTTTAGATGCATTAACCACTAAAACATTCAAATTCCTTGTTTCTATTTATCCTGTCCAATCCCTTCAGAACTGTACACATTTCTAGCAATTAACAGCAATATCTCCTATGTTGACACCTCCACTTATTTTTTTCCATTTATTTCAGTGTATTGTGTTGCTTTGTGAAAGAACCAGTGCTATTCCCACTCCAATGCTCCAACATTGTGGAACCCAAGACTGTATGGTCTCCAATTGTAGTCTTACTCAGGTTTTATACATATTCATCATTACATTTTAACTTTTAAATTCTATACCTCTTGTATCAAAGCCCAGGAATCCATTTACTCTTTATGATCTTAATCACTTGAGGCACTGCTTTTAATAGTGTTGAACCTGCTCCCCAAATCTCTCTCCATGTGTTTTTCACCCCAAATTTATCATCTAACATTTATTCAGTCCCGTCCTCCAAGATGGCACGGTGGCTCAGTGGTCAGTACTGCTGTCTCACAGTGCTGGGGACCTGGGTTCCATTCCAGCCTTGGGCGACTGCCTGCAAGGAGTTTGAACCTTCTTCCTGTGGGTTTCCTCCCACAGTCCAACAATGTGCAGGTTAGGTAGAGTGGCCATGGAAAATTGCCCATAGTATTGAGGGATGTGCAGGTTAGCCATGGGGAAATGCAGTGTTACGGGAGTGGGTCTGGGTGGGATGTTCTTTGGAGGGGTGATGTGGGCTGAATGGCCTGTTTCTGCCCTGTAGGGATTCTCTGATTTTGCCCATTCTTTTAACTTATTAACAACCATCTGCATCTAATTTTGATCCTTAGAATTATTTACACTGTCTTATTTTGATATTACCTGGACACTTCTCCCTTTGACTCCACATCAAAGTCGTTGGTGTTCAAACATGAAGAGAAAACAGAAACCTGTGAGATATCACCACATGCCTCCATACTTTTGGAAAAACTGTCCTTAATTTTGACTCTGCTTTCCCTGTTTTCAATTTACTTTTTATTCCAATGGCAACATTTACCTTAACTCTATGTTCCTAGATTATCTCCAGCAGTCTCTTGAGTGGGAAGCTGCCAAAAGCATCTGGAGGTCCCAAAAAACCTCGTCTGCTACATTTCACCTACCAATTCCTCAAGGAACTCCATCAATTGTATCAAGTAAGAATGGAATAAAAGTCCTTTATCAATCAACACTGAGCATTTCCACAACCACATTCACAGTGTTTCTCTAAGATGGACAGTTGAGAAAGACTGAATTAAATTTTTGACTGAGTGTGACAGTGACATAGCAGTGTGTGTAATACCATCCCAAAGTTATTTCAACTGCAATGTGATTCTTTATTAGGTTTGATCTTTTTGACCCTGCCATACCACTGAAGGATATATTCTCTAGACAGATAATATTGGATTTTGCACAAGGACCTCTTAGGATTAAAGCAGTGAAGATATATCAACTCAATACAATTCTACTGAATCAGGTAAGTAAGGTAATACAAACTGAAAAATGTTGTTTGCTGCACAGTGAACAAATGACCAAATGATTAAAGCACGTGTCAATACTCATAATTCTAACTTTCTGGAGCATAATTTCCTCCATTCAAATACGTTTTAAGTACACATTGTAAGACAGATCCTCATTGCTGCAGGGACTCACATTTCTCTTTCTTCATGCTGCTGATAAGTTTCTTCCTCCAGCGCCTGCATTTGACGGTGAACTCCCAGAAGGTCATTGTTCGCTTTCTGCAGATGATTCTCCAACTCTTCATTGATCTGTCTTAGCCTCTGATTTTCCAGCTTTGACTCTTGCTTCTCACTCAACAGCTCGACACACCGTCCCTCCAGCTGAGATGGGTCCACATGAAGAGATAATGAGATTGAGCTGGACTCTGACACACGAGCCCAGGGTTAATCTAATACAGAGATAGTAGGAACTGCAGATGCTGGAGAATCCGAGACAACAAGGTGCAGGGCTGGATGAACACAGCAGGCCAAGCAGCATCATAGGAGCAGAGAGGCTGACGTTTCGGGCCTAGACCCTTCATCAGAAAAGGGGGAGGGGAAGGGGGTTTTGAAATAAATAGGGAGAGAGTGGGAGGCGGATAGAAGAGGGATAGAGGAGAGGATAGGTGGAGAGGAAACAAACAGGTCGAAGAGGCGGGGATGGGGCCAGGAAAGGTGAGTGTAGGTAGGGAGTTAGGAAGGGGATAGGTCAGTCCAGGGAGGACGGACAGGTCAAGGGGGCGGGATGAGGTTGGTCGGTAGGAGATGGAGGTGCGGCTTGAGGTGGGAGGGGGGGATAGGTGGGAGGAAGAACAGGTTAGGGAGGCAGGGACGAGCTGGACTGGTTTTGGGATGCGGTAGGGGGAGGGGAGATTTTGAAACTTGTGAAATCCACATTGATACCATTGGGCTGCAGGGTTCCCAAGCGGAATATGAGTTGCTGTTCCTGCAACCTTCGGGTGGCATCGTTGTGGCACTGCAGGAGGCCCAGGATGGACATGTCATCTGAGGAATGGGAGGGGGAGTTGAAATGGTTCGCGACTGGGAGGTGCAGTTGTTTGTTGCGAACCGAGCGTAAGTGTTCTGCAAAGCGGTCCCCGAGTCTCCGCTTGGTTTCCCCGATGTAGAGGAAGCCACACTGGGTACAGCGGATGCAGTATACCACATTGGCAGATGTGCAGGTGAACATCTGCTTGATGTGGAAAGTCTTCTTGGGGCCTGGGATGGGGGTGAGGGAGGAGGTATGGGGGCAGGTGTAGCACTTCCTGCGGTTGCAGGGAAAAGTGCCGGGTGTGGTGGAGCTGGAGGGGAGTGTGGAGCGGACAAGGGAGTCACGGAGAGAGTGGTCCCTCCGGAAAGCAGATAAGGGTGGGGAGGGAAAGATGTCTTTGGTGGTGGGGTCGGATTGCAGATGGCGGAAGTGTCGGAGGATGATGCGTTGGATCCGGAGGTTGGTGGGGTGGTACGTGAGGACGAGGGGGATTCTTTTTTGGTTTTTATTGCGTGGACGGGGTGTGAGGGATGAGGTGCGGGAGATGTGGGAGACACGGTTGAGGGCGTTCTCGACCACCGAGTCTTACCTTTATCTGCTTTCCGGAGGGACAACTCTCTCCGTGACTCCCTTGTCCGCTCCACACTCCCCTCCAGCTCCACCACACCCGGCACTTTTCCCTGCAACCGCAGGAAGTGCTACACCTGCCCCCATACCTCCTCCCTCACCCCCATCCCAGGCCCCAAGAAGACTTTCCACATCAAGCAGATGTTCACCTGCACATCTGCCAATGTGGTATACTGCATCCGCTGTACCCAGTGTGGCTTCCTCTACATCGGGGAAACCAAGCGGAGACTCGGGGACCGCTTTGCAGAACACTTACGCTCGGTTCGCAACAAACAACTGCACCTCCCAGTCGCGAACCATTTCAACTCCCCCTCCCATTCCTCAGATGACATGTCCATCCTGGGCCTCCTGCAGTGCCACAACGATGCCACCCGAAGGTTGCAGGAACAGCAACTCATATTCCGCTTGGGAACCCTGCAGCCCAATGGTATCAATGTGGATTTCACAAGTTTCAAAATCTCCCCTCCCCCTACCGCATCCCAAAACCAGTCCAGCTCGTCCCTGCCTCCCTAACCTGTTCTTCCTCCCACCTATCCCCTCCTCCCACCTCAAGCCGCACCTCCATCTCCTACCGACCAACCTCATCCCGCCCCCTTGACCTGTCCGTCCTCCCTGGACTGACCTATCCCCTTCCTAACTCCCTACCTACACTCACCTTTCCTGGCCCCATCCCCGCCTCTTCGACCTGTTTGTTTCCTCTCCACCTATCCTCTCCTCTATCCCTCTTCTATCCGCCTCCCACTCTCTCCCTATTTATTTCAAAACCCCCTTCCCCTCCCCCTTTTCTGATGAAGGGTCTAGGCCCGAAACGTCAGCCTCTCTGCTCCTATGATGCTGCTTGGCCTGCTGTGTTCATCCAGCCCTGCACCTTAATCTAATACAGCCTTACTTTCACATGCACTGGAACTGGAACTTTACTGACATCACACACACACCAGCAAATAAAGTAAAAAACATTGATTGCAGAACACTGGATACTGCTAATTGATTTCACTTGTACACTGTAAGTGGAACTGCAGCTGTATAGGGTGCTGGTGAGGCTAACCTGGAGCACTGTGTACAGTTTTGGTCTCCTTACTTGAGAAAGGATGTATTGGCACTGGAGGGGGTGCAGGGGAGGTTCACTAGGTTGATTCCAGAGTTGAAAGGTTTGGCTTATGAAGAGAGATTGAGTAGACTAGGAGTATATTCATTGGAATTTAGTGATCTGATAAAAACCTACAAAGTTATGAGGGGATTAGATAAGATAGAAGCAGGGAGGTTTTTTCCATTGGCAGGTGAAACTAGAAGTAGGGGACATAGCCTCAAAATAAGGGAGAGCAGATTTAGGGTTGAGTTGAAGAGGAAGTTCTTCACCCAAAGGGTTGTGAATCTGTGGAATTCCCTGCCCAGTGAAGCAGTTGAGGTTACCTTGTTGAATGTTTTTAAGGCAAAGATAGATTGATTTTGGAACAGTAAAGGAATTCAGGGTTACAGTGAATAGGGAGGTAAGTGGAGCTGAGTGCATGAAAAGATCAGCCATGATCTTATTGAATGGCAGAACAGACTCAATGGCCAGGATGGCCTATTCCTGCTCCTATTTCTTGTGGACAATCTCCAAGAATAAATGCTGTGACAAATAAAGGCTCTCATTTGGAGTGTACAAAATTTTTCACAATGAAACAGTCCCAACCCCAATAATTTCAGCTTCCAACTTAACCTATGCACTCATGGTAGACATCACATCCTTAAATTAATATATATTTATACTTTAACAGAATAATCTATGGATTTTACAAAGTTCAAGCAACATGGCATGTTGTGGCATAGCTCAATATACTTTGAAGTAAAATGGAATTTATTTTTCCCTTTTGAACTAATCTTTACTTTGAGAAACAGTCAATAAAAATTGACTTGGGAAGAACTGAGAACAGATTATGAGAATATTTTTTGCAATTTGTTCACGGAACATGGGCATTGCTGGCTGGGACAACCCTCATTGTACACCCAGTTGCCCTTGGGAAGGTGATGGTGAGCTGCCTTCCTGAACTGCTACAGACCTTGGGGTGTAGAGTAACCTTCAGAGCTGTCAGGAAGGGAATGCCAAGCTTTCAACCCAATGACAGCAAAGAAACTAATCTAGAGCAAACAGCCCCCGTCACTTCAAATTTCAGCAACTGAGGCAAAAAAATTTCCAAGCAAAACATTTTCATCAAGCATTTTGAATGTTATTGGCAAAGACTGGAGTGTGCATGGATGCTGCAGTTACAGTCATATTTTGAATAAACAAAATACATCCAATCATGGCTGGAGAAAAGAACTTCTGTTCAAATTGAAAAAAATGCACAGAGACAGGATTTTTAATATATTACACTTAGACACTAAGAAAATTGATCGATAGATCTCTTGTTACTACCACTCTGCTCTGCTCACAATAATTTGTCCATTATTTTCCATTCAATTCAGACTATTATGACTTCCCTCAAAATAGCTTCTGAAGAAAATTTCACTATTGCTTCTTTCCTTGGTAATTTATAATGCTGATGTCCAAAACAAGAATAAAAGTAAACAGGATGATAATGGGCATCTACCAACATCATGGGGATTACCATAGACCAGAAACTGAACTGGACTAGCCATAAAGTAATTAGGAATTGGGTTTATTATCACATGTACTCACATAAGTGCAGTGAAAAGTTTACAAGTCACCACTTATGGCATCATCTTAGGTACAAAGGTACCTTGGTACAGAATCTCAGTTACAAAGCAGAAAATAAGGAAAACAAAGTTAAAAAGTTAAACATTATAATCCTTCTTACTAAAAAGTAGAAAAACAAAGAAACACGTTAACAGTTCAACACCACAGTCCATAAGTGCCTGGCTATGCTGGACTCACATTCCTCACAAGGACTCGACCCTGCCCCAAGTGCCATCCCTGGCCACCTGCTCTCATCGTCTTGCAGCCTGCTGTATATACATACAGTGGCTACAAGAGCAGGTCACAGGCTAGGAATCTCCTGACTTCCTAAAGTCTGCTCACGATCTACAGAACTGACTGGGCAAGACTCTGGTGGGCCAACAGTGTCCCGATCAGAATGTTAAAAGAAGCAAAAACAGAAAGTGCTGGAGAAACTCAGCAGGTTTGGCAGCATCTGCAGAGCAAAAACAGAGTTGACAATTTGGGCCTGGTGATTCTTCATGAGAACTTCTACAATCTTGTGGAGTTCGGTAAGTTTGGAAACTGTGGTAATGTTTACTCAAGACTTATGCAAGGGAGTTAGTAGCAGAAAGGGTTAAGTGATATCACAAGACAAACTCTGGCCAAGGGGAACATTAAGGACTGTTCCTGGGCTGAGCTAACTAGTGCCCTCTAAGCTCACCCATGTGTTCACTAGACTGTGGGTAAGTGACTACTGTTAGTGTTAATGGCATGTAGCTATACTGAAGTGTATTAACTCTTAAGTTGAAGAAAAGCAAAAATCGTAAGTTGAGCCTGCTGTCTCACAAGAGATAATTGTGTATCTAAGATGTGAAGTAACAAGTTATTTCCTGTTTCATCACGATTAAGCGTACCTTCTGTCTAAGACGTTATCAAGAGCTTAGACTAATGAAGGATTGGTAGTGACGAATCTACCCAAAAAGTCCTAGGTCATATCCAATATTATAAGATCCTGGCAGCGCTGGGATTCTCTGTCTCTTATAAGAGGAATTTGCACATGCTCCTATTGTTTAAGAATGGTGGGAAGAGAGAGCCGCAGCAACAATAGACCTGTACATTTCTGGCAGCTGTGGAGAAGTTACCAGAGCGTCTCATTAGGGAGAGAGAGCGCCAAAACAGTTACACAAATATTAGCCAATCAAAGACAGTCTGCGTGCACTTCTTAAGGCTCAAACACATCTAATTAACCTCATTGATGGTGTCACTGATAAGGACTGCTCTGTAGTAAATGGGATTCCAATGTTGGAAAAGGCAAGACCATTCTCTTTTATAGAAAGGTTGAAGTGTTTCTAAATGAAGGGAAGCTACCAAATGTGGATGATAAGAGAAATTTAGTGGTCCACATACAAATCTCACCAAACACTAGTGGTACAAATTGGAATCGGAAAGGTGAAAAAGGAATATTGGCCTAAACTTCAAGGAGCTTCAAATACAAGGATTGGGAGGAATGCTTCAATTATGTTAACCTCTGGCCAGACTGCACCTAGAGAAAGCATGTTTGATTATGAACCACACCCTAGGAAATATATGATGGGCCTGTGGGAAGGGGTGATGGGCTCAATGCAGAATGTTACCAGGGCTACAAGAGTAAAGTTATGAAGACAGGTTACATAAGCTTATATTTCCTTCACTTTAAATGATTGTGAGCAGGTATGATCAAACTGTTTAAAATAATGAAGGAGTTTATAAACTCGTATGAATTAAGATCATAAGAAATCAGAGCAACAGCAGGCCATTCGGCCCCTCAAACTTTCCACCACCAGTTAATGAGATGAGATCATGACTGATCTGAGTCTTTTACCTACCTGTCACCAATAACCCTCAACTTGGCTGTGAATCATAAAAATATCTAACTCACTCATGACAATATTAAACTGTCGCTCTCTGGGGAAGAGAATTCCAAAGACTAATGACCCTCTGAAAGAAGAAATTCCTCCTTATCTCTCTTTTAAATAGGGCGATCCCCTCAATAACTGTATCCCCTAATTCCAGGTTACCCCACAATCCTCTCAGTGTCTACCCTGTCAAGCTTCCCACACCTCACCACCCCACTGGCAGGATCTTGTATAATCCAGTGAGATCACCTCTCATTCTCCTAATATCCAATCGGTTTAGTGAGGAAAGACTGAGCCAAGACATCGGAGGGGAGGTTTAATACAATAGTCGGGGATCTCTGGAACAAGAAGATATAATATCAGAGCGAGGCTGTACAGCAGTTATGTCAGAAACTGCACCCAGTTTACCCTATTCTGCTTTTCAATAAGTTCCTCATGTTGTTTTTCTTTAACACTCAGCAAATATTCCAGTTCTTGGCATCGTGACTTCGAATCTGAATTCTAAACAAATGAAAGAGACACAATCCTCAAATATAAAATCAATTAGAGTATCTAAAACATACATTTGAAATGAATGTATAAATCTGTATTTGAAATCATTCACACTTCACAATTTTTAATAAAAAGTTCGTACTTTCTGAAATATTTTATTTTCTTCACTTTTTATTTGTTGCTCCATTTCATTATAAAGCTGTTTTATTTCTTCACTGTATTCTGCTGCTTTTCTGTAAATAATCAATAAATTCACATGCATTAACATTTCTGAACTAAGCTGTAAATGAAACAAGCCTAACTCAAGTTGAACAGCCAGCCACTGCCCTGAATTCTCACAGTCACATTTTTTTGAGCTAAGAACAAGAATCAACCATATCAAAGAGGCAGAAAGTCCAAAGCATTCAAAATTCTCAAACTCCATTTCTTAATTCTCTTTGTCAAATTTCCCATTAGAATTTTCATAACTCAGTTACAACCTCAAAACTCTTACCGAACGCTGTGGTCAATTGCTGGGGAGCACAGGAGAGTTGAGTTTGTTTGCTCCCTGTGTAGATTATTGCTTTAAGGAAGGTTGTTCTGACCTTGCTAAAGGTCTTTTAGATAATGGACTGCAGAGTCTAGCTGTGATTAGTAAGTAAAAACCAAAAGAACTACAGATACTGTAAATCAGGAACAAAATCAGAAGTTGCTGGAAAAGCTCACTTGCTGCAGTGTTCCAGTCAAGCTCAGTGCAAGCTGAAGAACAACACCTCCTTTGCCGCTTGGGGACCTTGCAGCCCTCCGGACTCAATGCTAAGTTCAATAATTTTAGGGCCTAACTCTCCCAGTGGGGAGGCGATGGCCTAGTGGTATTATCGCTGGACTGTTAATCCAGAGACCCAGATAATGTTCTAGAGACCTGGATTCAAAACCTACCTCAGCAGATGGAGGAATTTCAATTCAATAAATATCTGGGATTAAGAATCTAATCATGACCATGAATCAGTTGTCGATTGCTGGAAAAACCCGTCTGGTTCACTAATGTCCTTCAGGGAAGGAAACTGCCATCCTTACCTGGATCAGGCAGTCATGTGACTCCAGACCCACAGCAATGTGGTTGACTCTTAACTGCCCTCTGGGCAATAAATGCTGCCTAGCCAGCAACACCTTCATCCTGTGAATGAATTTTTAAAAAATGTCCTAGCCCACTACCCCACACACCAGGCCTTGTTATCACATAGTTTGCCATTACACACTACCTATTGTTAGCTACTAACAGTCTCCATTAGCAGCTACTCACCCTCCTAGCGAGATCGTTATCCACTCCGTTGTCTATCAAACTGCTCTTCTCTCTCTTTGGGCTCTACCCCCACCTATTGCTTACTCCTTACCCCCTCTCCCTCCCTACCTTCTTCATATAAACCAACATTTTCCCAGCCACCATCAGTTCTGAGGAAGGGTCACCGGACCTGAAATGTTAACTCTGACATTTTTTTCCCAGATGCTGCCAGACCTGCTGAGCTTTTCCAGCAACTTCTGTGATTAATAGGTGCTAGACACAGTACAATATGGTGACAGCAGACCATAGAGATTAAACTGATCGAAACAGGAGGAACAAACATCTTATAGTTTTGATTGTCAGGGTTGAGAAATCTAATCAAATCAGACCAGGTGGGTTTCTGTGGAACAGCAAGAAAAAAGGGAGCAGGGTTGGAGGTCAAGGAGTGCAACAGGGGCAAAGGGGTGGGTAGGAAGACAAAGGGGCAGAGCAAAGAGATGGGAAAACAGCAGAAGGCAGTGGGGTGGGGCAGAGAGTGAGGGGGAATTGATGTCATGTGTAGTTTAGGGGATTGGACCATTGGAAACATCTTCATTGTGATTAGCAAATGGGCACAAGTGCTCGGGCAGAAGATGGGACATCACAGGTCCAAGGATGAGAGCATCTTAAATGGGAATCCTTCATTCCGAAGCTGTGCTCCTCCAATTTCTAGATTCCATGAAGCATAAACATCCTCTCAGCATCTATCCTGTAAAACCCCCTTCCCTCAGGATCGTACATGCTTCAATGAGATTTTATTTTACCAACATACCTATGTACAAACATACAAATGAGAACAGGGGTAGGATATTCAGCCTCTTGAGTCCACTCTACCCTTGAATAAGATCATGGCTAATCTAATTGTAACCTAAAAACTACACCCCTGTGGTTTATCAAGAACCAATTTACCTCTGCCTTAAAGATTTTGAAAGACTCTACTACCTCCACCTTCTCAGGGATAGAATTCGAAAGGATCACGGCTCTTTGTGAGGAAAAAAAATAAATTGCTTTGTCTCCATTTTATATGGGAGACCCCTGATTATGAAACAGTGACCCCTCATTCCAGATTCTTCCACAAGAGGAAATGTCCTCTCTGGGTCCACTCTGTCAGGATCCCTCAGGATCTTCTATGTTTCCATCAGGTCAGCTCTCACTTTAACGGTGGAAACTGATGGAGGAATCAAATGGTCAGTGGGAATACAGAGTGTGGTAGCAATCTCACAGGAAGGTGACAGGGAACCTGTGGAAGTTATTACAAAGGCAGGTGACAATCATTTGCATGCATGTGGAATGCACAATTTATTTTGGAAATATGATTATGAGCTGTCAGATTCCTAACCAGTGGATAAAAGCAAAGTAGAGAGGACACTGGAGATCTGAAATGAAAACAGTAAAGTCTGGAGAAACTCTTAAGCCCCCATTTCCCTCATCTCCTCTATGCTATTAAGCACTATTCTTTTATTTTGCTGTGGACACCTTTCCCGTCTGTTCCACTTGCTCTTCCTCCCACACTTTTCTGCAGCATGAAACCCATCCATTATCCAGCCCACTTCAGTTCTGAAGAAGTCACGTTGCATGTGAAACTGTCGCTCTGTTTCTCTCGCCACAGATGCTGCCACAACTGGTGAGTTTCTCCAGTGCTTTCTGTTCTTGTCCTGAGCAGCGAGGGAGTGAGATGTCACTTCAATATGGATAGTCAGCCATCTTGCAATGACCTAATACACAAGGAATTGTGAAGTTTGCATCGTCTGAGAGTGATAGATCAGAGGAAGGGGCTGATGGAACAGTCTGAGGGGCATAGATCCTCTAGTGTAAAAGGTAAATCCAAAAATGTAAATAAGAGAGTCTACGTCATCAGGGAAGTGATCTAAGATCACGTCTCCTGGCAGATGGTTCTCTCCAGAAGCCTTGTGTGAAATCTTGAGAACAATGTCCTGTACGTTGTTAATATTTACCAGTTTGAATGGAAGTTAGCACTTGCCGACTTCCAAGAGTCCTGCTATCTTTATCAATCTCACTTCCAGATACAACCAAACCCAAACAACAGAATAATGGGGATCCTAAGGTGGAAAGGGTCAGGGAACAACCTCAGGAGCCAACACTGACACATTAGATCCAGGGTCAGTCACCAATCAAAGGGCTAAAATCAGACCCCAGAGCAATGGGGCAGCAGTGCTAAGACAGGCATCTGCAGGTAACAGAGATACTATTTGCGTAGAGGCAGGAAAGGCAAACGGGCCCATTCAGAGCCATGTTACTGGACAGATCCTACACATTACTTCTCCAATTTAGCCAACCTGTTTCCACTCAGTTTCAGATTCTCCAGCAAGGCTGCTGTCTCCTGCAATAGATTCCCATCTTATATTTCCATATTGAAAATGTGTAATGAATGAAATAGCACCATTTATTACTGGAGTATTGTTAACTGGTAACTTGAAAGAAAATTTCAGATGATGTGTGAAAGCATATATTTTCCCTTTGTCATATATATTCTAAGTCACTTGGAGACGGAGATTGTTAGAGATCAAACAAACCTTTTTAGAGCAAATTCCATCATTTCCCTTTCCTCGTTGGCTTCTTGAATCTGAATAGAAACTCTTTCCAGGAATTCTTCAAAATGAGTAAGTAAATGTGGTCCATCCTTTCTCAGATGTGTCCATAAGTTTCGGATTTCTTGTTGACTGAAAAATGCACAATTTTATTTGATATTTTCACGTGAACTGACCTGCTGGGAGACTCTACAAGGCAGTTCGGATTCCTCAAGGTTATAGGACAGGGAATGATTAGGTCAAGGGACACAGACTTTCATTCAGTTCCCACCTGAAGGTATTACACTTGGTCTTACTTTATACAACATTTTGATTTTTATCATTACATTTACACAGAAAAACTGACGGTTATTGATGACACGAAGTGGTTTGAGCTTCACTGTGGTCACTGGAATTAAATATTAGGCACTGTATTGAATCATCTACTTGACATCCAGGTCTCTCTGCCCTGAAAGAAAAGTAGCAGTAACATCAATAACAGGGGTGCAAGATCATTACGTTACTAACCAGAGTACTAATTTTTGAAACCTAAATTTGTTATAAGCATCTACTCTTGTAGTAACACTTCTTTTTTTTTAATTCTTTCAGTAAATATGGGTGTCAATGGGTAAGGCCAGCATTTGCTGCCTGTCCCTAATTGCCCTTGAACTGAGTGGCTCATTGGCCATCTTAGAGGGCAGTTAAGAGTCAACCACATTGATTTGGGCCTGGAGTCACATGTAGGCCAGATCAGGTTAGGACGGTGGGTTTACTTCCCTAAAAGGGAATGAGTGGATTGGGTTTTGGTGACAATTGATGACAGTTGTGATGGTCACAATTATTGAGGCTAACTTTTAGATTTCAGATTTATTAATCGAATTTAAATGACACCAGCTGGCCTGGTGAAATTTGAAGCTGTGCTTTTGTGCAGCAGGCATGATTTTATCCAGAGACAAGGACAATGAAGGCAAGAGACAGGAGTTATGATCCCAGCTGATGGTAACACTGGACAAGTCAGATCCCACAGTGAAACCTGGTTGATAGTCATAACTTTTATTTTTACAGTTTGTTTACCTTGCTGGTCAGTGACTGAACATTCAGAAAAGGCTGCCAATGTATTTTAAACAGAACATCAAAGTTTATGATACCTAAAACAGATAAAAGTACCATTTACATTACGCTGTACAAGAGCAAATTGAAACAGTCTGTCTCCTACCGCCAAGCCAATTTTGTATCCAATTGATAAGTCTCCGTGAATCCCATGTGATCTAATTTTACTAGCCAGTCAACCATGAGGAACGTTGTCAAAGGCTTTACTAAAGTCCATGTAGACAATGTCTACTGCTCTGCCTTCATCAACCTTTTTGGTTACATCCTCAAAAAACTAAATCAAGTTTGTGAGACAATTTCCCGCTCACAAAGCGATGTTGACTATCCCGAATCAGTCCTTGCCTTTCCAAATGCATGCAAATTCAATCTCTCAGAATCCCCTCCAACAACTTATCACCACAGATCAGCTGATGTTTCAAAGGATGCTAAAAGGCAGGAACTGGGATTTTCCATTTTCTATAATTTCCATCTGAAAGAGATCATATCCAACTCAAAACACCAAAGTCCAGCATAAATCTCAAACTAATCCCACTGCCTCACTCTCTCTCCAAATATCCCTCTATCAATTCCAAACTAATTGCCTCATTCTCTTCCCATAGCCTTGTATCAATCTCAAATTAATCCTAATTCCCGCTCTCTCCTCATAGCCCTATATCAATCCCAACCTAATCTTCCAAGCAAGTGGTTAGGATTTGGATTTACACTGTGTGAGAATGTGACTTTCAAAAGCGATTTGGATGAGCACCCGAGGAGAGAGAGAAAATAGAAAACAGAGCTAGAGGAAAAGAGCAGGGCAGTGAGACCCAGAGTGTTGCTGTTGCAGAGTGCTGGAATGGGCATAACAGGCCGAGTGGCCTTTTTCTGTGCTGTATCCTCTCAGTGGTTCGATATCAATGGCATTCCTGGTGTTCCAGCTGTCATTGCTTAATAAAAGTCATTTGTTAAACATGCATAGCCTTTACCGAACCTGTACTGGCTGTCCTTGCTTCTCAATACTCAGTTAGTTTATCCCAACTGACAGGTCGTCTCTTAGTATTTACAACCACATTCTCCTCCGAGAGATGTTTAAGGGGAATTGGAAATTGTTGCCTTTAGGCTATAGAGTTTCTTCAGTGTCCTCTTTCAGCAACCTTGGGTACTGCCTGGAAATAAAAGCATTGAGACCATCCCAAAGTAGTTTAAAATGTGATTGTTTGAAATTTGGTATTGTTGCCCTTGTCCTGATGAGCATAACATTTGTAACAAGATTCAAACAACTGGATCATTCTGACATACACACCCTTTACAGAGGCAGATTACAAATCACATTTTCAAATCTGCAACTTTGCATCACTTCACTGACAAGATTATAACCCCCAATACATTGGGTTTATCACCAGGCTGAATTAGATGGGCATGTGGGAATATGTTGGAGCTGTACAGAATTTTGGTTGGACCACAGCTAGAGTACTGTATGCAGTTCCGGTCACCACACTGTAGGAAAGATGTGATTGCACTTGACAGACATGCAGCAGAGATTCACCAGGACTGAGATGGAGCCTGAGATGGAGCATTTCAGCTTTCAAGGGAGGCTGGATAAGCTCAGGTTGTTTTCTTTGGAGCAGAAAAGGTTGAGAGGGTCCGGATAGAGGTGTATAAGATTGAGGAGCATGGACAGGGTGGATAGAAATCAGCTGTTCCCCTTAGGGAAAGTGTCAATAACTAGGAGACATAATTATGAGTGAAAGCCAGAGGGGATTTGAGAAAAACATTTTTCACCCAGAAGGTGGAGGAGGTCTGGAATGCACTGACTGGAAGGGTAGGACCGTTAAAAGCCACTTGGATGAGCACTTGAAATGTCATAACATTCAAGGCTATGAACTTAGTGCAGGAAAGTGGGACTCATGTAGATTTAATGCACCTTTGGTGGTACAGACTTGATAGGCTGAAGGGCCTCTTCTGTACTGTATAATTCTACGACTCAAGCTAAACACTGGGGTTCTGATGAAAGGTCATTGACCTGAACCGTTAACTCATGCTCCTCTCTCCACAAATGCTGCCTAATCTGCTGAGTATTTCCAGCATTTTCTTTCATCATTCCAGAATTCTAGCATCTACAACATGCTGTTCTTGTGTATCTGCCGCGGTTTATTTTTAAACAGGCAGAAATATAAAGCAGAAAGGTTCTGCTAAAGAGATAGTAAGAACCGCAGATGCTGGAGTCAGAGATAACACCGTGTGGAGCTGGAGGAACACAGCAGGCCAGGCAGCATCAGAGGAGCAGGAAAGTTGGCGTTTCAGGTCCGGACCCTTCTTCAGAAATGGGTTCTGCTATATTGTGTTGAACCTTGGTTAGAGGATAGTCAAGAATTTGTGAACAGTTCTCTATATTATACAAAGTACAGACAGCAGCTGAAGAAGGTGCAGAAAAGATTTATTAGAATGAAGCCAGACCCAAGATGCTAGACTTGTCTGGTACAAATGAAAGGACTGTAGAATACAAGGGGTCCTGCTATTATGTGACAGTTGCATTCCTGCACAACACTGTGTTATAGAAAATCACGCTATAGAAATAACGGGGCCTAGGGGAAAAGCGAGATTAGGGACAGGCCACCATAAAATATCACTCAAAATCGCTCAAAAATCTCTCAAAAGCCTAACACAAAGGACAGCACAGTTTGAATAAATGTTTAATTCATACCTAATAATGAAATATAAGTACATTTTTAACACCTTATCTTGAAAAAATGTCAAGAAGACTTGATGGGGGAAGAGATTTTGAGGTTGCTCTGCTGTTAATGCAGGGACTGAGGGTCGTCGTCATCATCATCATCACCTACAGGTGAGTTTTGTTTGCAGGGTTAGGGCGAAAAATATTTAATGCAGAAGTGGATGGCTGTAGTTCATTGTCTTCTTGTGGGTTAGCTTAAAAAAGACATCCAGTTTTTGCTGCTTTGCCCTTTTTCTTCTTTCACGAAGAAGCTGTTCATAGGGTGCCAAATAAGATCTTATTCCATGAACTGCTACCCTGCTGCGTTCTGCATTGTAATCACTGTCCTCTAACAGCTGCAACTGTTTCTCATTTTCCCTCAGGATAAAAGACAAAACAGAAGTGGAAAGTTCTTGTGGTGCTGTATCCTGGACTTTATCTTCTTCATCTCCAGCTTCCGCTTCCCCCTCAGCAACAAGTTGTTGTAGATCAGCTGTAGAGAGATTTTCACAGTGAGGCTCAAGCAGCTTTTCAACAACTTCACTCTCCACTTCTTCAAATTCAACTTGCTTTGCAAGATCAGCACAATGTTCTTTGATCCTTGGGAGCTCCTCTGATGGATCAAAGGTTTTAAAATCTTGAAAAAAATCTGGGAGAAGCTTCTGCCAAACTACATGCAAGCAGTCCTTACTGACATCACCCCAGGACTTCATGATAATGTCAATTGCATTCTTCATGTTAAAGCTCTTTCAAAATTGAAGAACACTGTCCTTATCCCCCTAAGTGGCTGCAATCATCCCCTTAAATGCACACCTTAAATAATAAGCTTTAAAGCTGCTATTGCACCCTGGTCCATGGGTGGAAAGAGAGAGGTTGTGCTTGGGGGTAGAAAAAGCTCACCAATGGTGGGAGGATGGCTTGGCGCATTATCCAGGATGTTTTTCTTGCAATATTTTCTAAAAATATCTTCCAAAACATCAACAATAAGGTCACCAATGGAATCACATTATAGCCAACACAAGTTTGCATTTTAGACATAGTGCTCCCCTATTCATCAGTCGTGTTGTAGCCAATTCAAGTTGCTGGAACACGCCTTATAGCAGAATGCCCTGTACCGAAAGCTTCACGGGTGACTTGATACAGATCGTTAAGATTATGAAATTAAAATTAATGCTGTAATTTCTGCACAGAAAGTGGTTGAGGCCAAAACATTGAATGTTTTCAAGAAGCAGATAGGTATAGTTCTTGGAGCTAAAGGGATCAAATGGTATGGGGACAAAACAGGAAGAGGGGACTGAGTTGGTTGATCAGTCACGATCATATAGAATGGTAGAGCAAGCTTGAAGGGATTTGGTCCATCATGGCTGTCCAAAAGAACATCATAATTTAATTCTACTCTCCAATCCTCTCCCTGTAAATCTACATAATATTTCTATTTAAGCAATTGTCCAACGCCCTCTTGAATCCTCAAATGGACAACAGGTTTAACATCTCATCCACAGGAGGGCACCTCCGGCAGTACAGCACTCCCTCAGCACTGCACTGGAGTGTCAGCCTTGATGTCCGTGCTCACATTCTGGAGTGGGACTTGACTGAAAATGTTAAGAGGTGAGATTATTCCAACTAAGCCATGGCTAGCCTACAAATTACCCCTGTATAAAATTCTACTTTACCAATCCCAGTATTTAAACGGATACACATTATGATAAAAAATGTGCTGTATTAAAACTTGACAGACGACAACTGACTTTTTAGAACAGAGAATTTGAGGGAGTTGTCAGAATATTTCCAACGTCATTACTCACTGCAATAGCCTATGGGAAATCAAACCTCACTATTCCCGGAGTCACCAAAATTAAAGATGTTTTAATAATACACAAAATCCCCAGTTTATCTATAAGTAATCAGACTCTAGGTACAGGTAACTAATTATACACTGTCGGCATATTATACTACCGCTATAGGAAGGATGTTATGAAATTTGAAAGGGTTCAGAAAAGATTTACAGGGATGTTGCCAGGGTTGGAGGATTTGGAGAGGCTGAATAGGCTGTAGCTATTTTCCCTGGAGTATCGGAGGATGAGGGTGATCTTATAGAGGTCTATAAAATCATGAGGGCTTTGGATAGGGTGAATAGCCAAAGTCTTTTTCCCAGGGTAGTGGAGTCCAAAACTAGAGGGCATAGGTGAGAGGGCAAAGATTTAAAAGGGACCTAAGGGGGAACTTGTTCACGCAGAGGGTGATGTGTGTGTGGCATGAACTGCCAGAGGAAATGGTGGAGTCTGGTACGATGACAGCATTTAAAAGGCATCTGCATGGGTACATGAATAGGAAAGGTTTAAAGGGATACGGGCTAAATGCTGGCAAATGAGACTAGATTAATGTAGAATATCTGGTCGGTATGGATGAGTTGAACTGAAGGTTCTGTTTCCATGTTGCACATCTCAATGACTCTATGACACTATAAATCAAAACTACAATCCCTTTATAAACACTCCCCCACCTCCTCTCAATCTCTCACACATACAAATGTACATTATGGCAGAGGGAGAGAAGAGCAGGAATGTTGTCTTTTCTCGTGGGGAGAGTTGGTGGTGGTGATGCGGGTGAGTTCAACTGCCTGAGTCATACAATCTGGAATTCCTTTCTCTGAACCTCTCCAACTCTTCACTTCCCACTACTCCTTTAAGACAACCCTTAAAATCTCCTTGTCTGACTCCTTCTGTAGTACAGCATTACATTTTGTTTGATCTTATTCCTGTGAGGCACCTTGAGGTGTTTTTGCTAAGTCACACCTTTATAAACATAATTTGTTGAGGTTGGCAGGAGATTTTTTTAAAATACAAAGTTGAAAGGCTGGACATGAGGGACAGCCTTGGACTGGTGGCTATTGCGAAGGGCACAAACAATAATGGAATATGGTGATTTTTACAAGGGAATTGAAATATAAATTTTTAAGTTTTTATGTTTTACTGTAGTGGCACAGGACCTTGGTGAAACTGTATCTGGAGTTACTAGTTTTGGTGCCTTTATTTGAAAAACAATATAATGGCATTAGAAGCAATATAGGAAAGGTCCACTTGATTCACTTTTGGAACATGGAAGATCTTGAGGGAACTGGACCAGTACAATGTTTCCTCTTGTAGCGGAGATTAAAACCAGGGATATGGTTTCATAATTTAAGACAGGGATGAAGACTTTTTTTTCCTCCCAGAGAATCGTTAGAATGTTGAATTTTCTTTCCCAGGTGGTAAGTGGAGGCTGGCTCTTTACATCTATTCACGGCTGAATTAACATTTTTAACAGACAGGGAAGTGCAGATGAGACCACATCCAGATTAACCATGATCTTAATCAACAGTGGAACAGATTCAATGGGCGGAAGGGCCTCTTCCTGCCCCTACATTGCCTGTCATTGACTCAATAAATTCCTCTTTAAAAATATATTCCAACCACATAAATGGCAAATGGTTATCAACAACATTGTCCAATTAAATGAATTGCTCATTTCCTTATGACCATAAGACATAGGAGGAGCAGAATTAGGCCATTCAGCCCCTCTAGTCTGCACCACCATTCAGTGAGATCATGGCTGATCTGATAATCCTCAACTCTACTTTCCTTCCTTTTCCAAAACCCTTGATTCGCTTCCTGATTAAAAGTCTGTCTAGCTCAGTCTTGTACATACTTAACGCCTCAACAGCCCTCTGCAGCAAAGAATTTCTTAGTTTCACAATCCTGTGAGAGAATAAATTTCTCCTCATTTCTGTCTTAAGTGGATGACTCCTTACTCTGAGATTATTCCTTGTGGTCCTAGCCTCTGTCACAAGAGGAAACGTCCTTTCTGCATCTATCCCTGTGAAGGCCCATTAACAATTCTGTACGTTTCAACAAGGTCTTCTCTAATTCTTTTAGATTCCAATGGGTGTAAGCCAATTTACTCAACGTCACCTCATGAGAACATCTCTCCGTAACCAGGATGAACCAGGGTTTAAAGGGATATGGACTAAATGCAGCACTCCCTCCAATGCCAATATATCTTTCCTTAGACAAGGAAACCAAAACTTTCACAGTTCCAGGTACAGTCTGACTAATGCCTTGTATAGTTTTAGCAAATACCTCCCTAGTTTTGTACTCCATTCAACTTGAAATAAAATCCAATGTTCCATCCACTTTCCCTATTAACCATTGAACATGTATGCAGGCATAGTGTAGGATCCTTCCTTGAAAATACAGCCACAAATATCCAACTGTGTATTGTGACATTTCACTCACTCTTTAAAGAGGTTCCTTGCTCCCAGGTTCCCCATCATGGTTTGGAAGTGGTGTTCCTCATCGTCATCAGCTGTTACCAACTGTTGGGTACACTGATCCAGATACAAGCTCTCAGGCTGATCCTGTCTTCTCCTTAACTTGTCTACAACGATCTTTTCCCCAAACAGGAACTGACCTGAATGTGTAAAAATTCCAAACATTTCTGAATCAGTAAACACATCATGGAGTGATTACAGCACAGAAGGAGGCCCTTCTGCCTATTGTTCCTGTACTGGCTCAGTGCAGGAATCACTTCACTGGTCCCACAGAATCACCCCCCCACCTCACATTGCCCTCTCTCTAAACCCATAAATTCCCACTCAGGAATTTAGGGAACAGGCACTTTCTGGCTTGATCGAGTTATTCAAGGGAATGTTATGACCTTGGTCAAAAAGAAAAAGGAAGCATATGTAAGGTCTAGGAGGACTGGAACTAATGAAGCCCTAGAAGTATGTAAGGGAAGTGGGAAAGAACTTAAAAAAGGAATTAGAAGGGATAAAAGGGGTCATTAGCAAGCAGGATTAAGAAGAATCCCAAGGCTTTTTATATATATATAAAAAGGAAGAGGTTAGCTAGGGAAAGGGTCAGGCCACTCAAGGACAAAGGAGGGAATCTATGTGTGGAGCTAGAAGAGGTGGGTGAGGTCCTAAATGAATACTTGTGGGTCGGTATTCACCAAAGAGAAGGAATTGATGGAGGATGATCTCAGGGAAGGGAGTGTCGACTTTTTAAGCCAAGTTGCTATTAAAAAGGAAGAGGTGTTGTGCATCTTAAAAAGTATTAAGGTAGATAAGTCCCTGGGTCCTGATGGCATCTATCCCAGAATATTGAGGGAAGAAAGAGAACAAATTGCTGGAGCAGTGACAGACATCTTTGTATCCTCTTTGGCCACACGTGAAGTCCCAGAGGACTGGAGAATAGCCAATGTTGTCCCAATGTTTACAAAAGGTTTCAGGAATAATCCAGGAAATTACAGGCCTGTGAGTCTCACGTCAATGGTAGGGAAATTATTGGAAAAGTTTCTCAGGGACAAGATCTATCCACATTTAGAAACAAGTGGACTTATTAGCAATAGACAGCATGGTTTTGTGTGGGGGAAGTCATGCCTCACTAACTTAATCGAGTTTTTTTAAGAGGTGACAAAGATGATTGATGGGAGGAAAGCAGTTGATGTTATCTACATGGACTTCAGTAAAGCCTTTGACAAGGTCCCTCATGGCAGACTGGTACAAAAGGTGAACTCACGTGGTATCGGGATGAGCTGGCAAGATGGGTACAGAACTGGCTTAGTCTTAGGAGGCAGAGGGTAGCAGTGGAAGGATGCTTTTTGGAATGGAGGGTTGTAACTAGTGATGTTCCACAGGGATCAATGTTGGGACCTCTGCTCCTCATGATCTACATAAATAATTTACAGGAAAACGTAGCTGGTCTAATTAGTAAGTTTGCAGTCAATATAAAGATTAGTGGAGTTGCGGATAGTGAGGAGGATTGTCGGGGATACAGCAGAATATAGATCAGTTGGAGGCATGGGCAGAAAAATGACAGATGGAGTTTAATCTGGACAAATGTGAGATGTTGCATTTTAAAAGGTCAAGTACAGGTGGAAATTATACAGTGAATGGCAGAATCCTTACGAGTACTGATATGCAGAGGGATCTGGGTGTGCAGGTCCACAGATCACTGAAGCTGGCAGCGCAGGTAGATAAGGTAGTAAAAAAAGGCCTATAGCATGCTTGCCTTCATTGGAAGGGGTATTGAGTGTAAGGACAAGAAAGTTATGCTGCAGCTTTATAGAACTTTAGTTAGACCACACTTGGAATATTGCACACAGTTCTGCTCACCACACTACCAGAAGGATGTAGATGCTTTGGAGCAGATACAGAAAAGGTTACCAGGATGTTGCCTGGTATCATAGAATCCCTGCAGTGTGGAAACAGGCCCTTTGGCCCAACAAGTCCACACCGACCCTTGCAGCATCCCACCCACACCCATCCCCCCCAATCTACACATCCCTGAAGACTACAGGCAATTTAACATGGCCAATCCACCTAGCTTGCACATCTTTGGACTGTGGGAGGAAACGAGAGCACCCAGTGGAAACCCATGGAGACACAGGGAGAATGGGCAAACTCCACACAGACAGTCGCCCAACAGTGGAATTGAACCCGGGTCCCTGGTGCTGTGAGGCTGCAGTGCTAACCACTGAGCCACCGTGCCACCCTCTATGGGGGATTTTAGCTATGAAGAAAGGTTGGATGGACTGGGATGGTTTTCGCTGGAATGCAGGAGGTTGAGGGGCAACCTGATAAAAGTTTATAAGATTATGAATGGCATGGATGGAGTGGAGGGGTCAATTACATGGGGACATAGGTTCAAGGTGAGGGGGGTGTAGGGAAGTTTAAAAGAGATGAGTGAGACAAGTTTTTCACACAAAGGGTGGTGAGTGCCTGAAACACACTGCTAGAGGAGGTGATGGAAGCAGGCACAATAGCATCATTTAAGAAGCACCTAGACGAATACATGAATAGGAAGGGAATAGAGAGATACGGATTCTGTAAGACAATTTTAGTATGGAAGGGCAAAATGTGTCAGCACAGGCTTGGAGGGCCGAAGGGCCTGTTCCTGTGCTGTGCTCTTTGTTCTATTCAAATGATGGCTCTCCGTTAACTAGCGCAGTACAGTATCATTATGGACGGATGTGCCTCTGCTGGCTATGTTTTTGGTGGTAGAAAGGGCATGTAAATACAGCAGGTTCTCACCCCACCATGTTCCCACTCACCCAACACCTCCACCTGCCACACCTTTACAACCACCTAAGATGAGTTCAAAATGCTGCCCATTGTGTCCAGAAAGAAAAAAAAGTTTAATATTTGACGTAAAATTTTGAGTTCTCAAAAATCCACAAATGAGCACAATTATCTGAAATTCTGCCCTGGTGACTGACTTGATTGGGTTAACATGATCAGGAGTCAACTTCCTGCACACATTTTACTTAGATAAACCCAAGAAGCTCAATTTTTGATTAAAGTTCTTCAATCTTTTACATTGAATTAGCTAAGGTGGCCAAATTGTGCCAAGAAAGTCTACAAACTCTAATGAAAGCTTTTGGGGCTGTTATGTCCAGCATCAACACCACTACACCACTTCCTGACTCCCCAAAGTCTAACCACCATCTACAAGGTACCAGTCAGGAGTGTGATGGAATACTCCCCACTTGCCTGGATGGGTGCAGCCCCAACAACACTCAAGAAGCTTGACACCATCCAGCACAGGGCAGCTTGCTTGATTGGCACCATATCTACAAACATTCAGCAGCTACAGTGTGTATTTTATCTACAAGACACACTATAGAAATTCACCAAGGCTCCTTCACCAGCAGCTGTGATTCTTACCATCAAAAAGGACACGAGCAGCAAATACATGGGGACCCCATCACCTGCACGTTCCCCTCTACATCACTTACCATTCTGGCTTGCAAAAATATCACCATTCCTTCACTGTTGCTGGGTCAAAATCCTGGAAATCCAAACCCCAACCCCCACCACTCCCCCAATGGGTCCTAAATGTGGGTCTACCTACAGCAAATGAACTGCAGCTGCTCAAGAAGGCACCACCTTCTCCAGGGCAATTAGGGATTAGCAATATATACTGGGCCAGTCAGCGATACCCAATTTCTATGAATGGGTAAATGGAAAAGAAAAAAAGTCCAGAAATTGTCATGGCATAAACTCTCATGGCAGAAACCAAAGGGTGAAGTTCAGGCTGTAAACTCACTAAATCCCGTGGTAAATTCCTCCAGTGTCAGAGAACCATTCTGATCAGCATCCAGGGCATCGAACACATCCTGCAGTTCATTTGAACTGAGAGACAGCTCAGTCTGAAGGTGCTGCAAATAAACAAACCTTTCTCAGAAAGTTATTGCAATTTTTAAAAATCAAGCTGTTTAGACATGTCAGGTTGTTTTAAATTCATTCATGAGATGTGGGCTTCACTGACCGGCCCATCCCTAATTGGTCTAGATCTGAGTGGCTTGCTTCAGAAGGTAGTTAAGAGTCAACCACATTGCTTTGGGTTTGGAATTACATTTAGGCCAGATCAAGTAAAGATGTCCGATGTCTCTAAAGGATATTAGTGAACCAGATGGGTTTTTACTATCAATACTGTTTGCTTTCAATTCCAGATTTCATTTTAAAATTCAAATGGCACCTTCCACCATTTGAACACATGCCCCCAGGGCACTAACATGGGGTTCATGAACTACTAATCTAGTGACAATACCAGTCACAGGGAGGAATGAGACAATAAAACTATTTGAACACAGGAATTATGATTTTTAAGTTGAAGTGTTCAGACCTGGGCGCAGATTCAGGTCAGTGAGCAAAGGCGATGTGGGATTGGGAATTAACACAGATGAGGGTGGGGGACATTAAGGTCATAGAGAGTGAAAGATAGGTCAAAACGACAAGGAGCTTGGATGGAGTCAACAGGGAAGACTTGTTTCCCCAGCAGACAGGGTCAATTAACTGAGAACACAGATTTGAGGTGACAGTAGAAGGATTGGGGGGACATGAGGAAACCTTTATCTCCCAGTGATAAAATGAGTATGCAGTGAGTATCTGGAATTTAGTGTCCAGTTTGGGGGTTGAGGTGGAAACCCTCCATTCATTTAAAAGGAATCTGGGTCTGTACTTGAAGTACCTTAATCTGCAAGGCTAAGCAATAGAGCTGGTAAGTCGGGTTAGAATGAGTAGCTTATTCGTTGAGCTGGTGCAGACACAGTGGGTTGAATGACCTCTTACTGTACTGTAAGGAGAAGCAATGGCCTAGTGGTATTAACCCAGGCTGTTAATCCAAAGACCCAGGTTAATTCTCTGTGGAACATAAATTCAAATCCCACCATGGCTAATGGTGGATTTAAGGGAGCACCAATGACTGTTATTGGGGAAAATCCATCAGGAGCACTGATGTCCTTTTAGGGAAGGAAACTTTTCTCCCTACCTAGTTCGGCCTACATTTGACTCCAAGGTCATTACTTTCCGGGCAATTACGGCTGCGTAATAAATACTGGCCTGGTTAGGAGCACCCACATTCTATGAATGAATCTTTTAGAAAAAGCCAAGTGTGGACTGCTACAGATGAGACTGAAGGCACGGCTTAGATAGGCAGAAGTGCCTTGGCAATAAACTCTGGAATTCCTTAGCTAGACGTTTGCACCTCTGTCCCCAGTTTTAAGAGTTTCCTTAAAGCACATCCCGTTGTGATAATTGCCGGGCTGATAGCAGAAAATGAGGATAATTAAAAGCTTCCTTAATTAGAATGGAATAGTTAAACTGATGAGCAAACTAATCAAAAAAAAGTTACAATTAGGCAAAAAAAACAGGAAGTTACCAACAGCTAGGCTTTCACAGATAAAGAGATTAACTCGAATTGGAACTAAAAATAGAAGCAGTTAGCCTTCACAGGACAAATAAAAAAAGAACACTAAAGCAAATGTACAAGGGAGGCAGGTGGAGGGGCCTGTGGGCAGGCAGGAAGGCAGGTGGAGGGG